TGTTGGCACCAACCAAGGGCACAGGTTGAAGGCTCATATTGTGCCTGGCGCAGTGGCACCCACCAGACTCCCCTTTGTGCCAGGACTCCAATGTTAACGTACTCAAGCAGGAGGAGGGAATGGGCTGAGCCCAAAGGATCCAGCCCACCAGTCTCCTGGAGCTGAGCCCGAAGGCTATGCAGCATTCCTTGTGGGAATACAGTGGCTCCTACTCGGTTTATCTGCTTTAATTTTTTTTATTCTTTGTACATCTCTCGTTACTCTACTTTTGTTTTCTTCAATCTTTAAGACTCCTTCTCAGTGTATATGCCTATACCAGCTACTAGTATTCTGTTGTCAAGCCAGCATTGTGTTAATTTGTTAATCGCTCACAAAAGAAATGTGCAGTATATCTATATCTACATTGTTTACTAGTACATTGTTAACTCTTACTATTAAGTTTGCAATGTACCAGATATTTTGACTATACTAAGCACATTAAAAAAAAAATAATTAGAAAAAAAAAGAAGATAATTTGTTCTCAAACTCGGAGCCCCTTGAAATTTAATCATAGGTTTCCCAGATAGTATTTTCTTTAAGTCCTCATCTAATCTTAATAGTGGCCAAATTGCATAAATACAAAAAAATAAAAATATGCTCATTATTAAAATCAAGCACGAGAATTAAAATTAGCTTATTTTTTTTATTACTGTCTTTGGTGAAAAGTGACTTAAAGGAAGAAAGACCTAAATGTTTTTTTTAACAAAGAAGTTTTGCTTTTTTTAGCTGTTGAACCTCAAAATATTATGGTGAGAGGTTAATTAAGAGATGAGGTGGATGTGACTTTGGAGTTTTTTTGTATTTTATTTTTTAATTACACATAAATACTGATCAGCTGTGTAACGGACCGTTTTGCACACAAGGGGTAAAAAGGGGTTAACAGCCGTTTAGGAGATCTTCCCCTTCCCAGAGATACAGGCACAGCTGCTACAGAACACCAAACTCCCGAACTGGATACAAAATAGCACTCCAACTCCCGAACTGGAACCTCCCAAATAGCTTCTAGCAGAAGAACAGGAAAAGCAGACAATCAGCTTACACTCCTGGCAATCAGTCTCTAACAGCATACAGTGAATCCCCCCAAGAACGAGACAAGGCTCCGTGTTGAGGGTCAAGCAGTGGTCAGACAGAGCTGTGGATTTATTGTGCTTATGTACACATTCTTACACATTAGTACCACCCACAGGGTTTTGGAACACAACCAATATACACATACAATACACTCAGACACTCCCACACAAATTCCTCCCCTCTGCATGTGATTCAATTACCTTACACAATGGGTAATGTAATTAAGCACAAGCAGAGAAATAAAATTTTTCCACATTATTCATAACTTGAAAAGTATGCCTCACATTCACATAAAACTTACATTTTCATCAGCATACTCCAAATACAAACATATGTCAAAATCATACAAATTGGTCCAGTGGTTCAAAAGATAGATCGTAGTCCTTTGTGACCACAGGAAGCATGGCTTTTCTGCCCAAAACCAGTTCCACAGAGTCTTCTATCCTGGAGATAATTAGAAGTAATCCAATTATCTCCAAAGACAGAGGCAAAACTCCATTGAACACATGGCAGAAAAAAGACAGTAAAATACAATAAAATACACAAGGTTACATTTATGACATAAAATACAGACATGCAACATATGCCCAGATAGCTTAGGTCTGAGCACACATTATTACTGAATGGCGCTCAGAGCACACACATACAGTTCAATTGCCATGGAGCTAAAGTCTTTCATTATACGAATGGGCTCCATGGCATAGCTATCTGGTGTATCACTGCTCAAACAGGGCAAGCACCAAATGACCCGGCTTTCTTGTTTTTGCAGGGGAAAATCAAGCCTTTTAACATGGGGCCATAATCCAAAGGCAACAGGCGAGCAACCAGGCTTCTCCAATGCAATGTGGCGAGATTGCTCTCGTCACAAGCTGCAACATTAAAACCATCTGCTATATATAGTTTAGGTCCCCACGTGCTGCCAAAACAGCTCTGATGCATTGAGGCATGGACTCCACAAGACCTCTGAATGTGTCCTGTTGTATCTAGCAGCTCTAAGGCTAATGCAGCAGATTCCGTAAGTCCTGCAAGTTGTGTAGTAGGGCCTCCATGGATCAGATTTGTTGTTCCAGCACATCCCACAGAAGCTCACTTGAATTGTGGTGTAGTGAATTTGGAGTCCAAGGCAATATCTTGAACTCTTTGTCATATTCCTCATACCATTCCTGAATAATTGTTAATGTGTGGCATGGTGCATCTTTCTGCTGAAAGAGGCCACTGGCATCAGGGAACATCATTGCCATGAAGGGTTGTACTTGGTCTGCAACAATCTATAGGTAGGTGGTACATGTCATGTTCTAAAATAAAAGCTGATTCATCAGACCAGGGAACCTTCATCCATTGTTCTATGACCAAGTATAGTGGTTTGAACCCTTCTTAGTGAGGTTTGCTATTACAGAAGAAAACTCCTTTATGAATCTTCTGTAATAGTTGGTGAACCCTATAAAGCTTTGTATTGGTTTTAAACCTTGAGGTAATGGTCAGTTTATTACAGTCGACAACGTCTTGGGATCCATACTGAACCCAGAAGAGGATATTACATAGCCCAAGAAGTTTACCTCAGTTTGGTCAAATAGCGATTTTTCAAGCTTGCATAATAGACCATTCTTGAGAAGTATTTGTAATACTCTAGATATGTGAGAATGATGTGTGCTTAGATCAGAGGAATATATCGGAATACCATCCAAGTTCACAATCACAAAGGAATGAATATATTCTCTGAGGATATGATTTATAAAATCCTGGAAACCACAGGTGCATTAAATAGGCCAAATGGCATAACAACATATTTGTAATGACCACTAGTGTTAAATGTGGTTTCCATTCGTGTCCATCTTGAATACGCACCAAGCTATATGCACCCTTGAGATCCCACTTGGCAAATAAAGATGCCTCCTTTAATCTGTCATCTCCGTGATTAAAGGAATAGGGTATGCATTATCTATAGTTATTTTGTTGAGCCCTCTATAATTTATACAAGGCTGTAGAACGCCCTCTTTTTTTGACACCTGCGGTAGAGGATGATCTACGTATGAACCCATTTTCCAAGGACTCCTTGATATATTTCTCCATGATAGTAATCTCTTGGTGATAAAGGATAACCCCTGCCTTTAGGAGGTATAGTGCCTGGAAGGAGATCAATGGAACAATCGTAAGGTCTATGAGGTATTTCTGTGGATAAAGGTGGTATTTCTGTGGATAATGGTAGGGCATTGGGAACATTAAATAGAATGTAGTGGTGTGATTTTTCTTATACATAGAGTTGAGCGGACACCAGGATGTTCGGGTTCGTCGGGTTCGGCCGAACATCTGCAAAAAGTTCGAGTTCAGCCTCGAACTTGACCCGAACCCGAACCCCATTGAAGTCAATGGGGACCCGAACTTTTGGACACTAAAACGGCTCCAAAAAAGTCCTGGAAAGGGCTAGAGGGTTGCAAAAGGAAGTAAAATTGGGGTAAGAGTTGGACAAGTGCCCTGCAAACAATTGGGGTAGCCCCCAAAATATTGGGACATATAAAAAAAGAGAAAACAAAGAATAAGTGCACTTGAGTAAAACAATAGCTGGGTGAGGCCGGTATAAATGTCTATTCTGCACAAGGTACAGACAAGTTTGGTGGGATCCATGCCCGGTTCATTACGTGAGCTTGTCCACTTTGGCTGTGGACAGGCGGCTGCACTTGTCTGTGATTTTGGGCAGAAAAGCCATGCTTCTTGTGGTCACAAAGGACTCCGATCTATCTTTTGAACCACTGGACCAATTTGTATGATTTTGACGTATGTTTGTATTTGGAGTATGCTGATTCTGAAAATGTAAGTTTTATGTGAATGTGAGGCATACTTTTCAAGTTATAAATAATGTGGAAAAATTGTATTTCTCTGCTTGTGCTTAATTACATTACCCATTGTGTAAGGTAATTGAATCACATGCAGAGGGGAGTAATTTGTGTGGGAGTGTCTGAGTGTATTGTATGTGTTTATTGGTTGTGTTCCAAAACCCTGTGGGTGGTACTAATGTGTAAGAATGTGCATAGGCGTGCGCAGCCAATTGCATTAGGGTGTGCACCCTAAAGCACAAACACACGCCACGCGCGTGTGTGTGTGTATGTCTCTCTCTCTCTCTCTCTCTCTCTCTCTCTCTCTCTCTCTCTCTCTCTATCTATATATATATATATATATATATATATATATATATATATATATATACACACACACACACTGCTGAGGGTGCGGTTAGTGTACTGTGTGTGTGTGAGCTGTATGTGTGTAGGTGCTGTATGTGTGTGTACTGTATGTTTGGAGGGATTTGGCAGATTAGTAAATCCTTGCTGCCATGTGCCATCCCTGGTGGTCCAGTGGAGAGTGAACTCTAGCCTGCGGGGCTAGAGTTAACTCTCGCAAGATCTGAGCGTTGCCACAGCAACGCTCAGATATCGCGAGAGGAACCTGGCGGAGCTTCTGTCTAGAGCTCCCTGGGTCCTCTACTGCCTCCCTCCAAGCTGCTGTGGGCCGGTGAGGTAGATCTTTGGTCTCCCCGCCGGCCCATGAAGGCTTAGAGCAGAGCCGGCACTCAGATAGCGCCGGCTCTGCGTGTGTATGTGTGTATATATATATATGTGTATATATATGTACACACACACACACTGACAGACACACACATACACTCACAGACACACACACACACTGACACACACACATACATACTCACAGACACACACTCACAGAAACACACACACACTCACAGAAACACACACACACACACACACACATACTCACAGACACACACATACACAGACACACACTCACAGACACACACTCACACACACATACATACTCACAGACACACACTCACAGAAACACACACACACTCACAGAAACACACACACACACACACATACTCACAGACACACACACAAATTACCCACTCCCGATGCGGGGAGGTAGTGACGAAAAATAACAATGCCGGATTCTTTAGACACCCTGTTATTGGAATGAGTACACTTTAAATCCTTTAACGAGGATCTATTGGAGGACAAGTCTGGTGCAGAGCGACTGACCCGTGCGTGCTGCAGCTGAAACTCCACTGTTGCCTGCTGCTGCTCGCACAGTCTCTCCAGCATGTGCAAGGTGGAGTTCAAACTTGTGGGCACGTCGCATATAAGGCGGTGAGCAGGAAGGCTGAAGTTACGCTACATCGCAGACAGGCGAGCAGCAGCAGGGTGAGAATGCCGAAAGTGCGCACAGACGGCCTGCACTTATATCTGGGCAGTTTTTCAGGAATTTCTGCACCACCAAATTCAGCACATGCGCCAAGCAAGGGATGTGCGTCAAACCGGCTAGGCCCAGAGCTGCTACGAGATTTCGCCATTATCGCACACCACCAGGCTGGCAACAACCACTCATCGGTTTGTTGTTCATGCCGTCCACAGCTCCTGCACAGTGTGGGTTTTTCCCCCCCAAACATATGAGTTTTAAAACAGCCTGCTGTCATTTCTCCCTGGCTGTGCTGAAGTTGGTGGTGAAGGTGTTATGCTGCCTGGATGAGGTGGTGGTAAAGGAGGAGGAGGAAGCTGAGTAGCAGGAGGAGGAGGCAACAGGAGGCAAAGAGAAATGCCCTGCAATCCTCGGTGGCGGAAGGACATGCTCCAAACTGCTATCCGTCTCAGGCCCAATCTAACAGATGGTTTATGTCAGGCGACAATGTATCCGCCAATAGTCAACAATTAAGTTCACTGGCAGTAAAGCAGTGCCGGTGTCCTAAAGAGAAATTTCTAGAGGTTACACAACAGTGTGAAAGGCGTAATTAATACAGTTACTTCAAGGTCTCAGAAAAGTGTGATTTTTTTTTTTTTTTTAAACCAACAATGTAAGAGTAGTTCTATTTAGGACAAAAAAAAATTGAATTTTTCAAAGTTCGATGTAACCACAGTATTTGACGGTTCTATTTGACTCTCAGATATAAAGTGCATGCCACAAATTTACTTTTTAGCATCAAAGAAATTTGAATTTTTCAAATTGCAATGTCACAGCAGTATTTAAAAATGCCTAGATGTTCCCCACTGAGCTACCAAAACAGGATTAACAGTAATGTGCCTGGCACACATGCAGTTGCAATTGCCCACCTAACAAACAGACTGATTGCTTATTTCTCTGTGGCACTGGGCTCAGGGCAGGGTACAAAAATGTAGTATAGCACCCACAAAAATAATTGCTGTAGTTTGCAGATTCAACACCAGAATTATTTCCTAATCTGTCCCTCACAGCTGTAGCATCCTCTCCCTACACTAATAAGAGCTCATGTGACTCCAGCTTATATAGAGGCTGGGTCACATGCTGTACTGGCCAATCACAGCCATGCCATTAATAGGCATGGCTGTGGTGGCTTCTAAGGGCACACGAGTCAAACGCTTGTTGATTGGCTGCCCTGCAGCTTTTCAAAACACTCCATTAAATCGCCCAACACTGAACTCGTACCTGAACTGTTACTGAACTGTCCGGGTTCAGGGTCCAAAAATCATAATGTTCGCTCATCTCTACTTATACACTTTTACTGATATAAAGTACTTCCTATCTCCAATCTATATTACTAGTACTTAGTACTTTATATCAGGAAAAGTGTATAAGCAAAAACACACCACTACATCATGTGGCAGACCTCTCTGCCTTTGCATTACTATTATTTCACCTTGCTTCATCTGTTTGTTTGGTTATTGCCGGTTGTTCGCATGGTTCTGGTTACATTCACTCAAATACGAATAAACTAGCGAATGGCAGGCCACCCAGCAGGGAAGTGTGCTGCTTGTTAACCTTTCTGACCGCATTAACATTGTGGTGGTCTCCGTTCGTATGAATGAGCACGTGGCGGCGGCCATCTTGCACAGTCGAACGCCCAGCGGTGTTCATCGACAAACTCATGGAACTGATTTTGGACACTGCTTCCCACGAACACCATTGAAGTTACCGACCCTTCATTGTTCTGTTCAAGGTTCATATGAATGCCGTGCGTTCGGTAAATTGACAATGCACAAACGGAACTGTACCAAATAGCAAACCCATGGAGCCCATTTGTTTAGTTGAACGCACGATGTACAAGACTTTAACTCCATGGCGGTTGAACTGCATGTATGGGATCTGAGCACTGTTTGGTTATATTGAGCGCTCAGATCTAAGCTATCTGGGGATAGGTTGAATGTGTAGGTTCCGTTCGGTATATTTGGAACTATATATATTTTATGTGTTTTTGCTGTTACTGTAAAATGGAGGATATTCTCTATCCCTGGAGGTAATTGAGTTACTTCTAGCACTTAACCCAATTATCTCCAGGATAGAGAGGAGGAGTTGTACCATTCATGTGGGAGTGTTTGTATACTGTAAATGCATGTGATTGGTTAATGTAAAACTTGTCTCAGTTTTCCACAAGGTCCCTATGGGAGGGTCCCTTGCTGGAAAACCTACATAAAAGGCTGATATGCAGCACCCATTAAACAGATCCTGCTTGACCCTCAATACAGAGCCTCGTCTAGTACTTGGGGGATAATTTGTATGTTTCCTGTTCGGCGCTTATGAGTGTTCCGTAGCTGACCACGTTCAGGAAAAAGGAACCGCTTTGGCGGCATCAACCCCTCCCCTACTCAGGGTGCCGTTACACATTCTATTAGACACAACCCAATACAATAGGAAAAGATGAAATGGATATGACCTGGAAACATACCTTCTCTGTGTGCAGTAAACTGTGTGCAGTAAACCAGAACGCATATTTAAAAGCCCGGTCTCATTTGTGATAATAGGAGAATATAACAGTCTTCCATCTATGGCCTCAAGGCTAAGGTTGTCTCCTTCTCTCTTAATGGTAGTGTATGGGTCTTAACAAAATCTTTCTATAAAGTTGTCGGCTGCTCCTGAATCTATTAAAGCCTGTATTCCTTTCTATTCCCAAGACAAGGTAATAGGGAGAAGCAAAAGTTTATGTGGCGAGAATGGGGACTTAGATGTCACACCCAAGGAAAATGATTGCACTCCCCTTTTTGGCAGGCACCAAACAATCATTTCTGAGATACCCCTTCTTCCTGCAATATAGGTGTGGCAAAACTAACCTCGCCACTGGGTTATGGAGAAGCCTCCTGCCTCATGACTATGGCCCCTCTCATCAGCCCAGGCTAAACTTAAACCCCATGGCAATTTAACTGTGTTTGTGGCATCTGAGCGCTGTTTGGAAATATTGAGCGCTCAGATCCAAGCCATCTGGGGATAGGTTGAATGTGGGGATTCTGTTCAATATGATAGGAATTATGTATTGTGTGTATTTTTTCTGTTGTTGTGAATAGAGATATTTTCTGTACCTGGAGATAGTGTCACGGGTGGCGGTACGGAAACCGGGACCCCAGAGTGCCTGATGAGAAGTTGGGAGTCTTCAGCATGGAAGTGGATTATCAGGGCCTAGTGCAGGGTAACCACACGCCCCCTGGTGTTGAGCACCAGCGTTTGTGCAGCCACATACCAGAACCCTGATGCAGCTACAGCGGATCCCAGGAACTTGAAGCTAGGAAGTAAGCAGACCTCCCAGGAGCTGAATTTGGAGGCTCTGCAGCGAGCATGCTTCCAGTACAGAAACAAGGCAAGACTAGAACAGGCTTCAAACAAGAAAACAAGACAGAACTAGTAGAACCCAAAACCAGAGAAGGATAGGAAGCTAAACCCAGAACATGTACACAATACATATGGGAACCATTGACATAATATGGGTAGGACAGGACAGGACTGTACATGGACTGGGAATACAAACTAAAACAAGACAATATATGATAGGCAAAACAAGAGGAGAAATAACTACGTACTCTATATGAAAATCATGGGGATCTAGTCACATTATATGATCATACATTGCATAAACCTTCCAACAACGCCAATGTACCCCATATCTGGCAGGTCCTACTCTGCCTAATGCAAGCTAAACCAACCAAAGAAAACACACATAGTACTTACCTGCAAAGAAAGGGCAGAAGACTTGAGCAGCTCTCTGCAGGAAAACTGAAACAAAAGGAATGATGGAAAAGGAACAGGTGAGGCAACATAAAACAAACATTTTAATGAATCTAAGAGACTGGGAATTCCAGGGACGGAATACAGGAGTTAACCCAGAAAAACCCAGCATAAAGAAAATCAGACATGGAATAGAAAACCAGAAAAAAAAAAAAAAACTAAGCAAGAATTGTAAAAAGAGTACTGGATACCAGAAGCCAAAGCCAGACATCTCTGCAGAACATGGCATGATGTGACAGATAGTTGGCTTACCACACCCAGTTAAGCCAATTATCTCCAGGATAGAGGACTCTGTGGAATTAGTTTTGGGCAGAAAAGCCATGCTTCAGTTGGTCACAAAGGACTTCAACCTAACTTTTAAACCACTGGAGGGAATTGTCTGATTTTATGTTTGTATTTGGAGTATGCTGATTCTGAAAATGTTTTATGTGAATGTGATGTATACTTTTATGTAATGTGATGTATAAGTTATGAATATTGTGTAAAACTGTATTTTCCAGCCTGTGATAATTACTTTAGCCCATTGTGTTCAGTAATTATATCACAGGCAGAGGGGAGGATTTTGCTGGAATGAATGGGAGGGTTTATCCATGTACTAATGTGATTGGTAATTGCTACATTTTGTCCCAGTTTTCCACCAGGTCAACCCACTGTCTCTTTTGTCAGAGGTGGATTGCACTAACAGTGGGTTGTTCTCTGTGTTAATTGAGGAAATCCATAGCATACTCTGCTATAGATTTATTTCACTGTTTTATCCTCGTCAGGGATTTGGATGCCCTTTTCTCCCTACCTGATAGGTCAAACACTTTACGGAAAGCCTTTAAAAAACTCTGGTAATCGTACACCAGAGTCTTATTAGCCTTCCATAATGAATTGGCCCACTTTAGTTGTTAGTGCCCGTTGTGTTGGACGCATCCAATATCTGTGGTGGTATGGGGGTAGGTTTATACGGAGAGAGGTGAGTAGTTCTGGCTAGTAATGTCTGGAAAGCGTGAGTGAATTGGTCCATCCTATGATCCATTTCCTCAAACTTTGGCTCATAAGAGGTTTGTCGAGGTCCCATTCCTGCAGGGTCCACGGCCCTAATGTAATGTCACAGGGGTCGTAGCCCAACTTACAGGAATAACAAATCCCACAAACAGAGGTACTAAATTGATGTATAACTGGGCCAGACTTATCGTTAATACAGATAAAGACAGAGTCAGGAATAGCCAAGATCAGGGTTATAGAAATACAAATAAATTGAATTACAACCGGAGTCAGGATACCAGAAAACAACTAAGTCAAATGCAAGCCGAGGTCAATATCAGGATATAACAAGACTTCATATTAGCAGTAACCTGTATTAGGAAAGAAACCATGATAGGGTCAAGAACATACCTTAAATAGGGTCAAATGAGTTCCCATTGGTCCACTTTATTTCTGTGACCACAAACAGCATAGGGTCGTCTGGAAGATGCCGTCCATTTAAGGGTTCTGCCCATGCGACCCAAGGAGAGGAACGGTGCTGGAGACAGGCACAGGTAAGTTTGTGACAATGTATTGCTCTTATAGAGATTTTTGTGGATTTTGAGAAAGAGATAATTTGAACAAAGTGACAAATGATATTGAGGAACTTAAAAATAACCATAGTTTAGATAAACCGAACACCGGATATAAAAGAAAAAGGAAAAATATTATATGAAAGAGTTGGCTAAATTGATGAGAAAATAGCAGTTATAAAAATTATATACAAAAGAGATACAACAGGTAAAGAAACTAACTGTTACTTCAAGCAGACCTCCCTGCCTCTGGATTATTATTTTATACTATTTCGTCTGTTTGTTCACCTCCCCCCCCCGGTGGTTCGTGTGTTTCCTGGTTGCATTCCCTAAAAGACAAACTAACTACCGAATAGCGGGCCACCCAGCAGGGAAGTGTGCTGCTCTGTAACCTTTCTGACCTTATTAACATTGTGGTTAACCGCAGCCACTTCCAACTCCCGAACGGTCGCCTGGGTGGTAGTCGTTTGTATGAACGAACACGTGGCTGTGGGCATCTTGGACAGTCGAACACCCAGCGGTGTTCGTCATCAACCACATGGAACTAATTTCGGACACTGTTTCCCACGAACACCGCTGAGATCACCAACCATCTATCTCTTCGTTCCAGTTCATACGAAAGCCGTGCCATTCGGTATATTGACAATCCACAAACGTAACTGTCCCAGATAGCTAGACCCATAGAGCTCATTCTGTCTGCCAAATGCACAGTGAACACACTTTAGCTCCATGGCGATTTGACTGTATGTATGGGATCTGAGTGCTGTTCGGTTATATTGAGCGCTCAGTTCCAAGCTATCTGGGGATATGTCGAACGTGGGGGTTCCGTTCGGTAAAATAAGAATGATCTATTTTTATGTGTTTTTACCCTTATTGTAAAATGGGAATATTCTCTATACTTGGAGGTAATTGAGTTACTTAAGGCACCTAACCCAATTATCTCCAGGATAGAGAGGAGGAGTTGCACTGTTTGTGTGGGAGTGTTTTCATAAGAGACCTTATCGACTGGTCCTGGAAAGACCCCCAGTTGGCAGGTGGAGATGGGACCGAGGTCTCTCCACCGGCCCTACAGGGATGCTGGGCAGCCAGCCCAGAACTCCATCCACAGATGGAGGTGTTACAGGGAGTGGAGACAACCGGACTCACTCCCATGGCAGGGGGAGTTACAGGGAGAGAAGTAAGTCGTCCTTCCTCCCCAGCGGCAGAGTGAGTTACAGGGAGTGGAGACGGTCAGTCTCACTACCCAGCGGTAGTGTGCAACCCTGGGAGAAGAGAGTGTCGTCCTCCATCTCCAGCAGCCGTGTGTTATTGGGAGTGGAGACGGTCGGTCCCACTCCCCAGCGGTTGAGGCTGTCATCCAGGGACTGAGGTCTCTGCACCAGCCCTACAGGGAGGCTGGGCATTCTACCCAGATCAACTGCCCATTCCCAACCATGGTCCAGGTGCAAGAGAGGGAATTACGGCCTCTACTGACCTCTTCCCAGCAGAAGAGCTGGCATCTGGGCAGAGAGCAGCTGGTCTCTGTCCTACCTACCCCTTTGTTTTGGGGCCTGATGACCCACCAACCAACCCAGCTGAACCGCTGGCTACAGGGGCAGAGTGCAGCTGGCCTCTGTCCTACCTACCCCTTTGTTTTGGGGCCTGATGACCCACCAACCAACCCAACTGAACCGCTGGCTACGGAGCGGAGCGCCGCTGGCCTCTGCTCACCAGGCACAGATGAGGGAAACTGCACCCTCCACCCCAGCGACAACTTTATCCAACCAAGGGGGAGGGCATTCAGGTTGTTTCCCCATAGGACACTGGATGTACTCCAAAACCAGTTTACAGAGGTAGAAAAGTGGATTGCAAAAAACAAACTCTTCCTGAACACTGACAAAACTGTCACAATGATCTTTGGAAAAGTACCTAAATTACACAAATTACACAATTCCCACCTATCCATCAAAACAAATTCAAATGGCACACTGACCGCAGTCCACTCTTTCAAATACTTGGGTATGGTACTAGACCCCAATCTATGTTTTGGCCTGCACATAGAAAAGCTTTCATCTAAACTTTATCCAAAATTAGGTGCCTTGTACAGAAACAAATCCTGCCTAAGCCCTACAGTAAAGGAAAAGATTGTACAGCAAATGCTGATGCCAATCATTGATTATATGGGGATGTAGTATATGCATCTGCATCGCAATCCCACATTAATAAACTCAACACATTGTATAACTCATACTGCCGATTTGTGCTACAATATAATTACAGGACCCATCATTGTGACATGCTTAAAGAACTAAACTGGCTGTCGCTGGAATCCAGACGCACCCTTCATCTTTCCAGCCTTGTTTTTAAGAGCTTTTCTGGGAAACTCCCACCCTACCTGAACAAAATGCTTTCCCCAGCTGTTCCCAATTTCTATAAGCTCTGATCGATCCAGTACAAGCACTTTACTTAGTCTACCTCAATACAAAAAGAAAGCGGCAAGATCCTCCTTCTCCTATAGAGCACCGCAATTGTGGAACGACCTCCCGCACAATTTAAAATCTTCCCTAAGCCTAAAGTCATTTAAGAGATCCCTCTCTACATACCTCAAAACAGAATGCACGTGTCATGGTTGATTATATATTTCCTGCCTGTTCTATGTTAAATTTTGTATATATTGTGTATTAATATTGTTTTTGTATTTTGTTGGACCCTAATGTAGCAATGCAATGATTTCTGGACCCAGGACCTACTTGAAAACGAGAGAAATCTCAATGTATCTTTCCTGGTAAAATATTTTATAAATAAATAAATAAATAATGTACAAATGGGCACTTATGGCAGGAGGCCATCTGGAAAACTACACATTTTGGGAAAGGCCAGCAGACTATCAGAGACCTAGATGTGACAAACTCCCGTTTTTCAAATGAGTTTGTCACGAGTTCTTGGAGCGGCCTGCTTGCCAGCCTCCTACCCACAGACTATGGGCCCTGCAGGGAAACCTGTAAAAGACTACCAAACTTGACTGACTCTTAGTCGGTCAAAACTATGACTTCCAGGAAATTCATGAACCCCTGAACTGATCTGGGTGATTTTTGGAAATGTTGTTCACCCAGATCCGGGCTATCAGGATGTGACTTTTATGGGGTTTTGTGTGTTTTTAAGGTATTTTTTGTGGTTTCATGTATGTTTTTTTCTGTGCTTGGAGATATTTTGGTTAGATTAGTACAGTCCCTGATTCACTTATCTCCCAAGCACAGAGGAGGGATTCTATTGTTTGTGTATTGGAGTGTCTCACTGAATGACTCTGTTTTTATTGGTTTGTTCATTTTGTGTCCCTGTGTCCAACAAGGTCCACCTGGATGTCACCCTTGTTGGAAAACGTGCATAAAAGGCCAGTGCGCCCTTGTTGGGAAACTTGCATAAAAGGCCTGCAGGGGATTCAACGGGGAAAGTCCTTGCAAATGATTGCACTCCCCTGAGTGACCTTAGTGCAATCATTTTCGGGAGGCACCAAACAATCATTTCTGAGATACCCCTTTTTCTTGCAATATAGGCAGAGCCCTTCCTTGCTCCTATATTGTTTCTCTGCCTCAGAAAGTTTGGTTGGCCCTAACTGCATGGGCTCAGATTCAGATGCAGAAGAGGTATCAGCAACTGTGACCCTAGGAGTAACAGCTACAGCAGGACATCTGGCTCTGTTCCTCTGTAGATATCTTTCCCTTAAACATTTATATCAATTACATAATTGATAATGTCCTCCAAAATTGGAGGACATTTGGTTCCAGGGCCCCAGTCAAGCCAAGGCGACTGGGCCAAAATGCTGCGGTTTGTCCCCTGTTCCAGCTAGGAAGTGGTCCTAGGAGGAGGTACCCAGCCAGGGGTACAGGGAGCTCAGTTACAAACAGAATGACCCCTTGAGGTTTACTCCTGTTGATCATTTTGTGATTTTTTTTTTTTAGAAAAGGGGCAAAACCTAAGAAGAAGAAAATGATTAAAGAATTCTTCTCACCGAAACTACCAAGAATACATGACAAACAGATTTGCCCCACTTGGAGATTGGAAGGCTCCTGGGAATAGGAGGAGAGTAAGCAGAGAGAGCACAGAAATATAACAGATGAGATAGCTAAGAAATTGGTTACTTTTGCGTTTTCTAGTTATTTCTATGTAATTATATACATTTTATATTAAAAGATATTATTAAAAATTATTATTAAAAGAAGCGTCTGTAGCCATGCTAGATGCAATCCTAATAAAAGATCATCGATCATCTTGGACATTTTGTATTTAAAATTAACATAGAGGGGCGGGGCCTGACCAGCATGGCCAACAGACGTGCATGTGGTGAGCTCCTCTCACAAATCAAGCCAAACTGAGCAAAAAATGGGTTGATACCCCCAAAAATGCAATCAAAGAAACGGTATACTACCTATACCTATTTGATGGGTGTCACGGCAAGGGTGCATAATTTATTAATACACTATGGAATATTATCCTGTAATGTAATTTGTGTAGTAAATGGCACAAATTACAGAGATGGTATTGTTGAGGTGAAAAGGGGTTACATCTTTTGAAGCTGGGACCCCCACAGAGGTCAGATGACAGAAGGGGTAGTATGAATGGCATAGTGATGTGAAAAGGATTTTACCATATGGATGTCAAGTAATCAAGGCTCTGCAAGGTGTGAGGTTCTACACTTGGAAAAAGTCTGAATGTCTCTTCATCCATTTGGCATGTACCTTGTAAGTGATGAGTACATCTCTTTGATATGTAAATGCCATTAGCTTTGTTCCAGTATCATTTCCAAAGGAAGGACAAAAACATTAATATTTACCCCCACAGAATAATAATAAAGCCTCATTTTTGTTATATTTTGGAATGTGACAAGTGCCATCTTCTAACCAAGTCCAAACATGAGTGGCCTAACTTGACCCTAGGGAAAGGAATTGTGATATCCGTCCTATTGGATCGTGGGTGGGACGTGCAACATGTCTATGGAATGGGAAAATAATAACAAATTTGTAGATGCAATTATTATTTCTGTGGCGGGACAAAAAAGAAGATAGAGCCAAATGTTTCCTTTTGGATAGACAGTGGTCTGGAACAAAGGAGGTGGTCAGTTATTATTTCTGTAGGTACGCCTTAACTCCACCCCTGGGCAAGACTTGATAAACCACAGGGAATATATCTAATGATCCTGAAGGGTGCTTGTGTACTTGCTTAGGGCCAAAATCTAATGTTGAGTGAGTCACCATCTTTCCTTGCCAGAGACCCCCTGGACAGAAGTTGTACTTTGAAAACCTAAGTGGGTAATTAGGACTTCTGTATTTTATCCTTTTTGTTTTTATCTGTTAGTATAAATAATTTGTTTATCATATATTGTTATATGCACTGTGACTATTTTTGCTCATAATAAACATTCATTTATTAAGTTCTGCCTTTGTCTGTCTAAGAATCACATTACCTGAAGAGACTAGTTAGTATTTTTGTAATTCCTTAAATATTGTACTAAGTAATATTTGGTGGGTTTTATTATTGATTTACCTGGGGGACCAAGGCACCCCATTTATAAATTGTCTTGGTGGTGGCAGCGTTAAAATAGTAATAGTTATAGTATTATGTTTAAGTGTGGGTGGTGTTAAAAAGGGGGATTTTGTCATTATTTCTGGTCTAGGGCAGACAAATAGTGTACTTTAATCCTTTCACCACCACAACTACGTCACGCACACTCTTGGAGTAGGGTGCGTTCGTGACAATGGGGAACACTCACAGATGATTCCAGAGACTTGCCCGCCGATCTGAAGCAGGGAATCCTCTGTGAGTGTTCCCCATTGTCTCCTGTGTCCCAGAAGAAATCTAGGAAGCAAGCTTGACAGAGGAGGTACCCAGTTGGGGTGCCAGGCGGTCCGTCACACCCTTTACTCAGTCTCGACTAATGTTTGGGTGTAAACAGATACAAGGTGTAGGTGCTCGCTATGTACGTAAGAAATGGGTAGAGGCTGCAGATTATCACACAAGTTATCCCCAACCTTGTGACAACACAAAATAGACAAAAACAGACAAAAATTGATAACACACACTTAAAACCTATAAATCTTTAGCTGGAATCACACATAAAAAAGTATATAATCATACATGTATAAACAGGGTCTTGTTTGGTGATGAATCTCTCAAAAAGACAAAAAAGGAGAGAACGGACAATAAGTTTTTTTTTTTTAAAGATTTGACGTAGTATTTTGTAACAAAAGCACACTCCCCCTTTGAGAGCTACTTGGATGGTATAACCCTTGTCTAAGGATGTATGTTCAGCAGTGGTGATGGTAGTTTCTCAGTAAAGTGCAGTATGTGGAGACATAAAAAGGAATATCCAATAGCGTAATATGTAGGGCACAAGCCTCACTTATACAATAGTAATAGGTAATTTACTCACATTTTTTAGAGCATGAACCTGCTCTAGTATAGTGGAGCGTTGGTGTTTTGATCCCCACCTGGGATATACAGGAACAAAGAGTAGTAAAAAAGAGGAAGCCGAAAAGGTGCAAAGTAAATTTACCTTTAAATTATTTTCAAACCTTTGTCACTCTAATTTAAGACTGTGTTCTTGTTGTAGTAGTTTTTCTTCTTTTAAATATACTCTACATTGTTCTGTAGTAGTTATGGTGCTTGGAGTTAATCATCTGGTCTGTTGGTGGACCAGGGGGTATATTTAAAGAGTGCTGCTATAAATAATTTGCCAAGACTAACATCTAACATTATAAATTATCTTCTCAGCATGTTCAGATAGTATAAACCTCTTTTATTTTTTTATAGATACACTATTTACTGATAGTTATAACTGTATTTTAGAGGAACAATTGTAATTGAGGTAGAAAATTCTTGTTTTTAGTAAATCTAGCACATTTCAAATCAGAGCTTTAGTTAGGCCCCCTGAATAAGCCCTGTAATGCAGGGTTTTGCCTATGTGTGCTCCTGCAGCAGTGTGCGACGATTCTTAGCCCATCTGAAGATAAGATGGCAGCAGGCACTCAGAGGATCACAGTCAAGTTGTCTGGCTGCTTTTAAATGTCTTGACTACATACACTGGGAGGATGCCAGGGCAGTCCTAGCTCTATACAAAGGGCCATACTGATTATGTGTTGTTAACATTTTTTATCTTTCTATTTAGCGTATGTGACCTTAAATTGGGATCAACAAAGAATATGTTTACTTTTGCAGTTTGTCAACCGGACTGAAAACAAATACAAAAGGATGAACAGCAATGAACGCATTCGGATGATATCCTGTAACTCTCCGTCCATTGAAACAATGAAGCTTTTATTAGATAAACAAGATGGTAGGAGTTGTTTGCATGATTTCAAATCTTTTTTCTTATGCTGAAAAATAAGAAATTCAGGGGGAAGGCACATTTAGAACATACATTTTTCAATACTAGTTCTGCTGTAAAGACCAAAATATATTCAAAAACATACATTAAGGGAACAGCACACACACACACACACAAATATAGTTTTAAATATTACAGGGCTACTTAAATTCTCTATCTTAATAAAAAAAATGGGGATTTTTTCACACAATATAGCCATAAAGTAGTCTTGAAATATTTAAAACAATATCTGTGTCCACCATTGCTCCAAAGTTCCCCACAATCGGATAACACTAGTTACATAGGTAAGCTACCAGTGTACCGCTTCCTTGTCAGGGATAGACTTATAGAAACTCTGCAGTTGCTTATAACAGAAGCTCATTCAGCGGCTTCAGTCCACCCGCCCTTAAGGCCGCCTTCAGAGGGGCAAGTCTAGAAAAGCTAACTCCCTCCCCAGCAATCCCCCAATATAACTCTGATTGTGTGTAAGTAGTAGGAGCAGGCTCTGGACGGGAAACACGTGCAGAGCTTCATGCATCTTGAATCAGGTGCGCAACATATGTGGTACGGGACATTGGTCTCAGAGTTCCAAAACAGCAAGGGTTGTGCCCAGGCCCGGACTGGGCCACGATGTCAATGGGCCAAAGCCGGCAGTGAAGGACACAGGATCTCCCCGGCCGGTCCATGCAAGGCCCACACTATCCGAACGCAGGCCCTGCTGCATTCCATGATGGGCCAGTGGGGAGATCAAAGATCTCTCTCACCGGCCCACTTCCACAGACATGCGGCCACTGGCTGGGGAGGGAGACAGGAGAGGACCCAGCGGAACTCTATCTTGCAGCTTTGTCGGGTTCCTCTCATAAGATCTGGAGCGTTGCCATGGAAATGCCCTCGATCTCGCGAGCGTGAATTCTAGCCTCCCAGGCAAGAGTTCACTCACCACAAGCACCACCAGAAATGGCAGTACGGTCCCCCCTCACAGGAAGGGGGGGGGATGCAATTTTAGTTTTTTGTTTTTTACTCCCCCAACACAAAGTCCCTCCTATCATAGACACACAGCACTCTCACACACACCACCCTCACACACATACACTTCACCCCTCACACTCACAGCATCCATTACCCGCACTGCACCCCTCTCATACACACATACTTCACCCCTCACACCCACCGCACCCCTCACACATACACATAGAACCCCCCAACACACTGCACCACACACACACACACACACACACATACAATACTTCCAAACATATATATATATATATATATATATATATATATATACTAAAGCATCCCTAAACACATTACATTCCAGACAAACACTACATCACCTATACACTCACACACTATAGCCTGTATGCACACACTTGCTACATCCCTATACACACACTCTCTACAGCCCCTAGCCACATATGCATTACATTACACTACAAATATGACTAAAACCGACCTTATTACATAATACCTCACCACAATCGGCTCACTCTATACACACGCAATCCCACAAGCAGGCTCCAAACACATGCACAATACTCTTTCCTGGCCCTTTTGAATCCTGTTATCCCATTTATAGAGACACCAGAGACAAGTTGCAAGGAAACACAGCACAAGCATGTGATTAAATTTTCTTGCACTGTGCAGAACAAATACAGGGCCTTTTTCCCACGCTAGAGCTCTTCAGCAGAGCTCTGTGCATGCTCACTTTGAGAGGGGATTTGTTTGTCACTGGTGATGACAAAACACACCCTCTCTGGTCCTCCTCCTTCTTTGTGGGCTGCTGTGATAAAAAAAAAATGCTGTCTGAGCATGCCACTCTAATATCCTTTTGAGTTCTGCTGCCTCTAGATCTTTCCAGCAAATCTAGACCCCCATCTTCTGCTCCTGGAAGACATAAAGTTGATACTTTGTTTCCCCTTTCCACACATATGTAATCACTGTCTATCTGCGTTACGCAAAAAATGCTCTCAGTAGGTGTAGAGGGATTGTATGAAACAGATACATCTGCGTGAGGATATTCACTGATATACAGCAAAACAGGAGATTTGAGGCAGGTTCCAATGTTTAAGATCCTCCTGTAGTGACTACATTTTCTCGAATACAGTCGGGAGAAATCTGACGTGACCCAGATACCTCATCTGGTCTCGGCACTATTTTAAAGGGAAAAATTTAGACCATATCGAGTGTGCCTTACCTTCCACCAGGGAGATGTTCAAAACCTCACACTTTGAGTTGTTCAGCTTGAGGTTGGAGAGCTCGTCATATTCCTAAAAAGCCACCTCCAAGCAAGGGAGGGACATCCTAGGATTCATGATGAAAAACAAATAAATGGAAAATCTTGAGGTGTGGGCCGACTGCCAAACTGCTTTCAGCAAATGTTCTAATCACAGGGAAAATAGCAAATGTGATGTGGCACTACTACCTCATGCCGTTGCAGATAGGTAGAGGACTAATTTAAAACATACTTTCCTGTGGTCGCTATCTGTATGCTTTCAGTGGTCACTTCCAGAGGGGAACATTTTGTTGAGGAGAGGAATATTCAATTAAAAGCAACATGGGCAAGGCTGTAAATAATTTTAAAATCTCTTTCATATAGTCTAACAATGGTGTTAGAAAATGCAACCATTAAGAATAAATTCTGAACATTTCCAATAGATAAAAAAAAATACTCTACAAATTATTGATTTCACTACCACCATACAAGAATTTGATTTCAGAATTCTAAATTCTGTTTTGTGTAACCTCTTTGTTTCCTTTGTTTTTAGATCTTGATCCTGACAGCGACCTGAAAAAGAGTCTCAATCTGATCCCATACAGCTTAGTTCATCCCTTCCACTGTGATAAAAGACGACCAATTCTCTTTGCTCCCTGTACACTGGCAAATATCCTTATAAAAAAATTGCTGAATTCTGGTGGAGCTTTGGAATTCAACATATGCAAACCAGGTAAAAAAATAATAATCTGTTATATATATTTATTTACTTATTTATTTTTTGCTGGACCCCAATAACACTGGGAAAATGTCTGGCAAGTGGCACTTACCACATCATTCAGTCCACTGGCAGCAGGGGTATGGGTAATAAGTGGAGCATTGGTAGACACATTCGAAAAAATACAAATAGTCAGTGGTGCTGATGTTCAGGAGTAATCCCCAAACTCCCAATTAGCAGAGTACAGTTACAATCAAAACCTAGATGGCACACACAAAATTGAACATGCATATATAGTTTATTAGTTTCAATAAAGTTACAAAAAGTAATGGTGTAAAGATCAATGCTAAGTCTAGAGATCTGCTGATATGTAAAATACCACCAAATATGAAAAATAAAAAGGAAATAAAAATATAGGTGAATAAACCAGCTTGGTAGCAAGTCAAATGCAAAAATACTTTTCATTAGAGCCATATCAAACTTGAATAAATTCAGTTTTTCATACGAGTCCAAAAATATGATACCGGAATTACGTGATTTTGCTATTACATGATGAAAAGTCATGATTTTATTAAAGACACGGAGATGACTATTACATATGCCTTTCTTTACTGTTCACCAATAGCGGCAAAGAATACAAAACAATAAGAAAAAATATGGTTTACATAGTAACATAAGCCTTTCCCAGTCCAAGTCCCAGTATAATAGTCAGCACCTCCCCTAGTTCCTCCTCTTTCTTTGAAGATGCGAACACCAATAGAACAAACATAAACAGGAACTGAAAAATAAGTCCAAACGCACAATAACATTACAGCTAAATCCGGTAAGAATCAAAACCAGACAACCATCCAGCAAACCGGAATAATTCCAGAATAGCAACAGGAATTCGCCAACCGAAAGGATCCCGTCAAAGGATAAACATAAATTAAATCCATTAAATGAATCCAGATCAAGCTGTGAAAACACAAAAGAACAGGACCACACGGTAACTTCGGTCTTTGCCACTAGTATTAATGTAAGTCATAAACAGTAGACATGTGCAATTTGTTTCGTTCCGAATGTAAATTCAGACTACTTTCGGCAATTCGGACATTAGAATGCTTCCGAATGTCCGAAGTGCTGAATTTCGGAAGTGCCCAAGTGCTTCAGATTTCTGAAAAGTGGCAAAAGAGGAGAGGGAGGAAAAAATATGGTAATTATGACAGGAATCTAACCCTAAACCTAGATGTGTAAGTGGTTGTGGATGTTAGGGTTAGGGAATTACTGAGGTCCCGAATTGACGAAGTCCCGGATTTTGAAAGTAACAAACCAAATATTTTGCTGATGTACATCTGCCCTTATTATGAAAAACCAATAATGAAAAACCGTGTACAACCCTATGAGTAAATCATACAGTTAACCAAACCATTAGTGTAGAATGTCCCTGCTTACCGTAATACCAATCTGTAACGGCACCCCCAGGCATAAAAGGGGTTAAAAGCCGTTTAAGAGATATTCCCTTCCAGATTCACAGGCAGCTACTCCATACACCAATCTCCCGAACAGGAAACCATACGAATTCTCCAAACTCCCGAACCGGAATCATATGAATGCTTCAAACAACCGAACAGGAAAAAACATACAAACGGTTTACACTCCTAGCAGTCGAACTGGAACAGTATGCAATAAATCCCCCCCAAGAACGAGACAAGGCTCCGTGTTGGTGGTCAAGCAGTGATCTGGTTTAATGGGGCTACCTGCCCGGTATTTATGCAGGTCTTCCACCAGGTGGACACTCGCCTAGGGGACCTGGTGGAAGACTGGGACACAAATTGCACAGTGACCAATCACAGACATACATCGTGAAACACTCCTACTAGTACAGTATAATCCCTCCTCTCTATCCTGGAGATAGAGTACTTAATTTTCTCCAAGGATAGAGGCAAAACTCCATTACACACATGTTAGCAAAAAGACCTAAAAATACACAAAGTTACAAATACTGCTTCAGCTGGAGTAGCCTGGTTGGCGCTTATCTGGGAAGAGGGAGCAGTAGGCTCCTCTCCCTGGAACCGATGCAGCTGCTGGAGGGGGAGACCAACTGTCTCCCTTTCTGATAAACGGTCCTGTTGCTGGGGGTCTGGACAAGCTGTCCCTACTCTCTGTAGTGTGGGCACAGAGACCACGGTCTCATCTGCACCGGTGGGGAGCTTATTGTCTCCCCTTGGTGGGCTAGGCTGCCGCTGGGGAGGGAGGACGAGGCTCTCCTCTCCCAGTATAAGACTCTGCCGCTGGGGAGCAGGACTGACTGTCCGCACTCCCTGTAGTTTTGGCACAGAGACCATGGTCCCATCTGCACTGGTGGGGAGCTGATTGTCTCCCCTTTTTTGGGCCAAGCTGATGCTGGGGAGAGGGGATAACCGGCTCCTCTCCCTTACACACTTTCAGCTGCTGGAGAGGGAGACCGACTGCCTCTACTCCAGATAAAGTGTCCTGTTGCTGGGGAGAGAGACCGACTGTCTCTGCTCCCTGTAGGACATTTTGCCGCTGGGGGAGAGAGACTGGGCTCTCCTCTCCCTTCAAGGGATACTGCCGCTGGAGAGGGGAGACAATGCTCTCCACTCCCTGCACTTCACACTGCCACTGGAGTTCCTCCCAACGTGCCAGCTGGCCTTCTCCTTATGCCCAGTATTGCAGTCTCCTGAACAGGTTCCTTACGAGCTGCATGGATTTCTCAGGTGGATTGGGTCCGTAGTACTTCAGCCGCATTCTCATCATAGCGTCCTACTCTTCCATAGAGTAGGGGGGTGCAATGCTTGCTGTGGTCAGGGGTGCTGTACAGGGACAAGCGTTGCCCTCAATTTGTAAATCCACAAAAACGGTGTCTCTGAGCTGCTTTACCTCGCACTAGGATGCCATCCCACCGCTTGCCACCAATGTAACAGAGCTCCTAGTACTCCGACCAAGTACCTCCATTGATGGATGCTCCTAGTGCTTCCCGAGGGCTCCAAGCGCTACACCAGACACCATAAGCACTGCAGACCGAACTTCTCTTCCTGCATAGAGCGAAGCTGGAACAAGCTCTTAAAAGAGCCTAGTGATTATAGCTAGGGGAGTATACAGAGTATAGCAATCCCCCAGTGTAGATGCAGTCGTATCCCCCAATCATGAGACAAGGCTCTATGTTGAGGGTCAAAACAGGAACAGACTAAGCTGTGTCTTTATTGGCCTTATATAAACATTTTACAGACAAAGTCCCACCCATAGGATTTTGTGGAACATCCAATCAAAACATACAACACAGATAAACACTCCCATTCATTCCATCAAAATAGTGTTTCCTTGTAGCTGTCCTTCTGGGCTGTGAGAATCATCCCACCTCTGCCACCAATTGTAAAGGCACCCCCAGGCATAAAAGGGGTTAAAAGCCATTTGGGAGATAATCCTGTTACAAGAACCCTTTGCACACTGTTACAAACTAACCCCTTTTATTAAAACCCATCCTGTTTTCGGTATATAGACCATACAAACTCACTCCACGAACCATTATAAACACCCATTCATATGTACGAACAATGGACCACCTAGCCCTTGGTGTGTGCCGCCACTTAACCCCAATCACCTCGGAAGGTACCGAATAACCGACCACCCTACGAGCGGAGTGTGCCTCTCATTAACCGCCCCGGAGCTGCGGTCTGCAGTTAACCATCAACTAATTGACGGTCACAGGGGATCCATGTTTGTGTGCATTTATCCGAAGGGAAACTACCGAAAGACTTGTAGGAAATTTGCATTCCGTGAGATATTTGTTTTCCAGTTTTCTGAACAAATCGAATCAGAGTGTCTTGCAGTTAAAACCGTATATTTATTACAATATACACATCATCCGGTAACAACAAAAGTCTGTTTTAAAATCATATGGACCAATAGACAATGTATATTCACTTCTAGATCTTATCCAAGCTTGATGTTAAAAGGTATTGGTGAAAATATTCTAGCTGCAAAGGTTTTTTATACATTTAAAATTCAATTACATAGGGCGTATACAAAATGACATAAGGTTTGCCTGCTTTACAATAATTGGTTATCAAAGAAAAAATAGGTGGTAACTTAGTATTATTCGATATCTATGATTAAAGCCATACGTTATGATGTTTTGGTAAGTTACACACAAAGACCTTCTTGAGACTTCTAATTACATGATGGAATGAATGATTGCCTATAGAAATGTGAACCTTCACAGGAATTCAGGCTTACAAGGCTAGGTCAAAGGTTATTATCAACAGGGTCCACAAGTCTCCATCCATCATTCTTGACTTAAAACCATATGTGTGTAAATTACAGGATGTGTATAAATTACATTAAGTTTGTAATGTATCTGGGTAGGCCCCTCGATGTCTGGATATGCTTAGAATAATAACTTACAATATTTCTACATTCCTACAACACGTTGAATACATTTAAAGTTCATAAAAATATTTTTCAAGACTCACAAACGGGGACCACCTACATTCTGGCGTGTGGCCTCAATTAGAATGTTGATCTTGCGGTTAACTGCAGGTTAAGTACCCCCTTCTGGGGTAAATTGCCATGCTTGTGTGCCATTAAAGCCAGTTCGTCTTACCCTCAACTCGCAGCCTCGACTCGTGTTGTAGGGATCCGGGAATCCTAGATTTATTATAGCTAGTGGGATATTCTACATTTACAGATTTTCTACCGATTAAAGTACCATTTGCCTTTCCGACTTCGGGAACCAGGACATCTAAGTGATCCAACCTCCTGCTAGACTGGAGGCAATCGTAACAATTGGTGGTAGAGGTGGGGTCATCCTGGATTTCCCAAGAAAAGACTTTGGCTCCATGGCAATTGATCTGTATGTGTGTGCTCTGAGCGCCATTCAGTAATAATGTGCACTCAGACCTAAGCTATCTGGGCATATGTTGCATGTATTTTATGCCATAAATGTGACCTTGTGTATTTTATTGTATTTTACTGTCTTTTTGCTGCCATGTGTTCAATGGAGTTTTGCCTCTGTCTTTGGAGATAATTGGATTACTTCACAATTATCTCCAGGATAGAAGACTCTGTGGAACTGGTTTTGGGCAGAAAAGCCATGCTTCCTGTGGTCACAAAGGACTACGATCTATCTTTTGAACCACTGGTCCAATTTGTATGATTTTGACGTATGTTTGTATTTGGAGTATGCTGATTCTGAAAATGTAAGTTTATGTGAATGTGATGCATACTTTTCAAGTTATGAATAATGTGGAAAAATTGTATTTCTCTGCTTGTGCTAAATTACATTACCTATTGTGTAAGGTAATTGAATCACAGGCAGAGGGGAGGATTTTGTGTGGGAGTGTCTGAGTGTATTGTATGTGTTTGTTGGTTGTGTTCCAAAACCCTGTGGGTGGTACTAATGTGTAAGAATGTGTACATAAGCACAATAAACCCACAGCTCTGTCTGTTCACTGCTTGACCCTCAACACAGAGCTTTGTCTCGTTCTTGGGGAGATTTACTGTATGCTGTTCCAGTTTGACTGCTAGGAGTGTAAACCTATTCGTATGGTATTTCCTATTCGGCTGTTTACAGCATTCGTATGGTTTCCTGTTCGGCGGATTGGTGTTCTGCAGTAGCTGTGCCTGTGTCTCTGGAAGGGACGATCGCCTAAACGGTTTTTAACCCCTTGTGTGCTGAAACGGTCGTTACAACATCTCGGTAGTGCTCACTTGAATCCAGAATGCAGGGCTCACTTTGAAGCCTGAGAAATGCCACGTAGGCATGGCTGAAGGCCAGTATTTAGGACACAGAGTAGGGTCAGGGAAACAGAGGCCAGAACGAGCCAAAATTGAGGCTATCACACAGTGGCCCCAACCCCGGACTAAAACTCAGGTCTGGCTTTTTTAGGCACAGCTGGCTACTATAGGAAATTTGTAGCAGAGTACAGTGCCCTAGCTAAACCCCTGACTTACCTCACCAAAAAGTCCCTACCCCGACAAGTAGCCTGGTCCCCTGAGTGAGAGGAGGCTTTCCAGAAACTCAAAGCTGCATTAAGGGCATCTCCTGTGTTGGCGGCACCGGATCATACTAAAAGGTTTTGTGACAGAACCATCTGTCTGCTTGGATTTTTACTACGTTCGTCTGTTTGTCCCCCGTTCGTATGAATGGCTGGTTTCTATAGCCCAGCCATTCGAATGACTCTTTTTCCTGAACAAACCCGCCGAACGAACGGCCACCCAAGTGAGGAGTGTGCTGCTGGTTAACGAAGTGATCCCAATTAGAACGTTGTGGTTAACCGCAGACACTTCTCAATTAAACCGAATTCAGGGTGGTCGTCGTTCGTATGTCGACCACGAGGCAGCGGCCATTTTAAATCAAGCGAACGCCCAGCGGTGTTTGGCTCTATTTCTATGGAACTGAAAACGGACACTTTTTCTGCCGAACACCGCTGAAACAACGGAACGCCTGGCTGCCTCCACGAAAGCATGCGAACACCGGCCGTTCGGGAGATTGAGAGCATACGAAAAGACTTAACCCAGATAGCCTTCCCATGGAGTCATTCGTATACCGAAAGACTGTAAAAACTTTGACTCCATGGCGATTGAACTATGTGTGTGGGATCTGAGCGCTATTCGCTAATAATATGCACTCAGATCCAGGCTATCTGGGGACATGTAATACGAATGGGAAATGTTCAGCAGTTTTCATGTAGTTATATATTTTTATGTCTTTTATTATTTTATGTCTAAGATGGCGACTGGCTTTGTCCTGGAGTTAATTGAGTTACTTGGTAATTAACTCCAGGGCAGAGGGGAGGGAATCATAATGCACTGTTGGTAAAATCTGTGACTGTGTGTCTGGGATGTCCCCAGATCTGTCTGTAATGTAAGTCTCCCATTTGGTCCCCTAGGGGAGTGTCCACCAAGTGGGAGACCTGCATAAATACGGGCAGGTAGCCCACAGTAAAGCCAGATTCTGTTTGACCCTCAATGCGGAGCTTCTGTCTCGTTATTGGGGGGATTTCTTCTTCACGTTTAGAGACTGCTGGATGGAACGAAAGCCGCTTGGGGAATATTGCTGTTCGACGGTTACCAGCAGTTCGTGTATTGCCGTTTGGGAGTTTGGAGCCGTTCACGGATCTCGATCGGGAGATTGCCGCTTCCCCTGCATTTTGGTTCGTGTGTTACAGAGTAAGCGAACGGAGTTTGTACTGCAGCCGGGGAAGGTCTACTAAACGGCGGTTTGGCTTAAAGACACTAGAGGTGTCTTAACAGGTTTCTCCTTCACACAGATGCCTCCATGCTTGGACTGGGAGCAGTACTAAGCCAGGTGGGAGACGATGGCTTGGACCACCCGGTGGCGTATCTGAGCAGAAAACTGTTACCACGCGAAGTCAGCTATGCCAGCATGGAAAGTGTGTCTGGCATTAGTTTGGGCACTTAAAAAGCTACAACCCTACCTGTATGGACACTCTTTCACAGTGATGACTGACCACAACCCTTTGATTTGGCTTAACAGAGTAGCTGGCGATAACCCCAGACTACTCAGATGGAACTTGACCCTTCAACCTTATAATTTCACGATGCAGTATCGCCCCGGGAAGCAGAATGCCAATGCAGATGGCCTATCCCAGCAGACCGAACTAGAAAAGTAACTCACTCATCCGGACATCCCTTAGCTGACCCGTTAGGATCTAAGCAGGTATGCCGTTCCATGGGACTAAGGGGGAGCTGTGTAACGAAATCCCTTCTGAATCAGACTATGCGAACCACACCGTTCGGTTACTTATGCGTGTGTGGGGTGATTTCGTGCAAATATCAATAAAACGAATAAACTGCCGAACCACATCCTACTGAGGTCATGTGGCGCCCATTAACCACCCAGACTTTGTGGTTAACCACAGAGTAATTGGGGAACAGCTTGGTGGTCTGCGTTCGTCTGCTGAACACGTGGCAGTCGCCATTTTAAATTGTCGAACACCCAGCGGTAAATGGCGGCGGTGCCCTGGAACTCTTTTTCGGATACTTATTCTGCCGAACACCGCTGATGCCTACCAAGGTCCTCGTTCATACGGCTGAAAACACACGAATGCCAGAGACATTTCACCGTTCGGGACTTGGATTTATGCGAAATTGACCAACCCCAGATAGCTACAGTGTGGAACTCTTTGTCGGATACAAACACGCAAACGGCCGGTGAAGTCCAAACTTCATTCAACGTTATTGAGAACTGTGTTCGTGGGATCTGAGCGCTATTCGCCTTGAATATGCACTCAGATCCAAGCTATCTGGGTGTATGTGGGACTTAAAGTTTATGTTCAGTAAAATATAAGTTATAGATTTTTATGCTGTTTTGTGAATATGGGAAAAGCCATGTTTCTTTCTACCTGGAGATAATTAAGGCTCTCTTTAATAACTTAAGTTAATTATCTCCAGGATAGAAAGGAGGGAGTGACCTATGTAAAAGGGGAGTGCTTATGCTTCACTGCTTCAATTAGGGTGGTTGGTCGTCTGTCTTTAAGCCAGGTTCTCCCATCTCGGTCTATTCCACTATAAAAATGTTCCAACAAAAACAGTTGTAGTACTTCCTCAGCAGTTACTACCTGGCAGCCGTTTATCCAGTGCGTGGCAGCCCTTCGTAACTGGTGAGCCCACTTGGTATGTGTGTCATTCGCTCTTTTCTTCGTATTGTGAAACTGCCTGCGATACGTGTCTGGGGTTACAGCATAGCGCCTCAGCAGGTTGTCCTTGACCAACGCATACTGTGTCACCTCCTCTGGGGTTAGTGTCCGGAACGAATCTAAGGCTCGCCCAGATAATTTTCCGGTCAGTATGGTGGGCCATTCCTCGCTGGGGATCTGGTGGAGTGCTCATTGCCTCTCGAAGTCGGCCAAAAATTCATCGATCCCCACCTCACTCTCTAGGAAGGGCTTGAAAGCCGCGAATGGGATCTTTCGCTTCCCAGTGGTCTCTGGATAGGTAGTCGTCGTTGTTGACCCGGAGCCACGTTGAGCGGTAATCAGGCTGAGTTTGTGTGCTCTGGCTGCCTGGATATCCGCATCTGCCTCGTGCCATCAGCTGCTGTTTCAGTACCATAGTGGAGTTCGGCCCGTATAGTGAGAGCCTCTCCCGGACAATCCAGGTTTTCTCAACACCAGCCAACACCGGGGTCTTCGTCATGGTGAAGCTCTGGTCCAGTTCTGTTAGCTCCACAATCAGCTCCCTCCTAGGTCGATTGCTGGTGGTTCCACCCCGGCTCTCTAGTAAGTGGTGCGCTTCAATTTGTCATAAGTGTTCTCCATTCGCTCTGGGTCTCTCCTAGGAACTGCAGATGTTACGGTTGCTTCCAGGCTAGCTGAAGGTTGGACCGCTTTTGATGTCCTTGTTCCCGATCTGGAAGAGAGAGAGCGCTGCTCTGAACAGCATACAGCAGCAATCCTGTAAATGTAGATATTCCACTAGCTATAAGTAGCGCTAGTATAACACCTTTCCCTACAACACGTGTGTAGCGGATGGCATTGGGCTGTCCTAAAAAGTGCATTCGGTTGAATGTTAACTTGTAATATGTGAAGTGTATGTAGCATTCGGCTGATTGTTCGGTAAAATCACTCCAGTTCTTATGCGAATGAAACTATCGAACAATCAGACCACCCCAGGAAGAAGTGTGCCTCCAATTACCATTCGCAACAATGTTGCAAACGGGTAATTGGTGATTCGTGTAATGTGCGTTTTGTCCTCTGGGTGGCCGCCATTCGGGAAACGAACACGGCCATTTTAAAACTCCCGAACAGCAGTGTTTTGCCGTCGAGTTTCTGGAACCCAAATCGGACACTCGGCTAGGCAAACACCGCTGAGACCTCCACACTACCCATAAATTTGTGTAGAAACTACAAATGGTGCCAGAAACCCACGAACAAGGGGATTCATTTGAATCCTCTCCAGTCTCCATAGCCTAAGTCATTCGTGCAGTTTATTCCCTTTTTACTACTTCCATCAATCTCCCGAACCCCTGGTCTGATCTGGGTGATTTTTGGATATTTTCTTCACCCAGATCACTTTTCCTAGGTTTCTGGATGTACCCCTAAGTTTAGGGATACATCCAGAAACCTAGGAAATGTGTGTACTGCATAATAGGATTATGAGTCAGGCTAAGGGGAGGGAATGTGTGGGCGGTAACTCGTGTATGATTGGCTACTGTAATAATTATTGTAAATCCCTCCCTTGCATGGGAGCATGCTTTAAAAGAAGGTGAAGTGATTAAAAGTTCAGTTCTGCTCCTGATGCTGTGTGTCGTCCAGTCATTGGGATCTGTATGGGGATATTCGTGGATTACCCTGTTTGCTGGAATTATTACTTTATGGGATTTTTCATCACTTGTTCCTGAGCTTCACTGGGATCTCTAATGGAGTTAACCTGGGGAATACCAGGCCTCCGCTACAACGTGTCAAGGCTGCGAGTTGAGGATAAGAAGAACTGGTTTAATGGGTACTCATGCATGGCTTAAATACATATTTTCAGGCCAGGGGAACACCCCTCTGGACTTGATGGTACACAGGATTACAAAGTGTAAAAGCCAATAGAAATAAAGTGCATTTTACAAAACACTCCCTCCTACTCTGGAGATAATTGGTCTCAACGGTTACAGTAACTCAATTATCTCCAGGTACATGAAATAACCACACTTTTATACATGCATGAAAACTGAATAAAAATGAATAACTTTTACATTAAAATGTTTTTAAATATTAAATTCAAACCATCCCCATACAGCTTGGATCTGAGCACACAACATATATGAAAAGCGCTCAGATCTCACTTTTGGTATGCAAATGCCATGGGGGTGAAACTTGTCTGCAGGGCTGTTTGACTGTTAGCAGCTCGTGCATCCTATGCCATGGAATCTGGCCAGGGGCCGGTGTAGCCTTCGTCGAGACAAAGGGTCGAACGGCATGTCTTTCGGGGTTGTATGCACAAACGGACGGGGCAAGCTGTATCCCAGCTGGATTCGCGCAAACTATTGTCCGAAAATAGTAACATAGGTTTGATGACCAGGTCCCGCTGGGCGTTCAACAATAAAAGATGGCCGCCACCACGTGTTCGTGCATACGTACGACAACCACCCTGGCAATGATCAATTATGTTGTGGTTAACCACAAAACTGCAGCTTCAAGGTGGTCAGGCGTTCAGGATTTAGTTCGACTGTTAGTCTGGTACCCCATTCGACCTTTTACATACTAAGGGTGACCACCCTGATGACAGTCAATGAGGCTGCGGTTAACCACAAAAACCGCAGCTCCTGGGTGGTTGATTGTAGGCACACTCATCAGGTAGGGTGGTCGTCCATTTGTCAGCTTGTTTGGTGTTTAGAAAGTTGAGCAGAGTTAATTGGCGGCGCACGCCAGGGGCCGGGTGGCCGCCCATTCGTACATACGAATGGCCTGCAATAATTGTTCGGGTAAAAGTAACAAAACTAATAGCAAGGTAACTGGGAAGTAGCAGACAGAGGGGACTTCTGTCACATATACATATGTAACTAGCCATTAGGCTAGGTACATAGTGGGTTCATACAATACTTCTTACTCCTATAATCTCTCAGGAGTCAATGTGCCCTATATATGGAAGATGTCCCGGAGGTGGCATTAATTTGATTGGGCTCAGGGCCTAGTTTTGGTTAGCGATGGCTAGGTGCCTATGTCAGGGGGTTGTGAGCCATGGTGCCTGTGTTTGATGGAATGGGGGCTATGCCTAGTTCATGCACTTGCAGGGTGATGCCCTGGAGATGGGAACGAAAGTGGGGACCTAACGGGAGGAGAGCACTATGCTTGCTGTGTCATCATAGGCTATAGCTCCTTAGGGATCAATTGGCCTTTGGGCAACAGGGGACAAATGAACATCTCTTCTGAGCAGGTGGGCATGGTGAGTGAGGAAGGTCTCTTTGTTGAGCTGCAGCTTGATTCCTGGAGCTAGATGGTGCATTCGGCGTAACGTGATATAGCTCAATTCCCAGGGATTCCACAAATGCAGACATCTCAGAGACGTTGGTGAGACCTTGAAATTAATTGTCCTTTTGGACTATTACCTTAAAGTGATGATCCCACATGTATCTCAGTCTGTGGTAGTTCAATGCCAGTGTCAGAGGCTTCAAGTCTCACCACTTCTTGACACCTTGGTGGCCTTGGCAGATTCTCCTTTATGGGGGAGTAGTGAAGGCAGGTGATGATATCGCTAGGAAATGGTGATGTCCTGTGTGGCGAGATCAGGGGATATATGGAGGAGTTCCGGAGTGACGGCTTCGGGTAGGCCTCAAATGCGGATATTATTTCTCTGTGAGATGCTGTACTCGAGTGAGAGTATCCGCTCGTGTAGGTAGGTGATATCCTCGGCTTGAGCCATGGATGTGGTAGAGAGGCTTGAGATTCCGGTCTTGGCCTGGTCTGTGCAAGAGTTCAGGACACTGATGTCCTCATTCAGGCCGGAGAGCTGTTTATCAAGCTCGGTGGCCAGATGGGTTTTTATTTCAGCAGTGGCCTCTTTCAGCATGAGTTGGAGGTCCTACTTTGTAAGAGGTGCCTGCGGATCAGTCAGGGTCGGAGCTCCTGTCTGAGTGAGAGCCAGATTCAGTCATGAGCTTGGAGCAAGATTGCTGCATTGCCTTGCCAGGAGTTTGGAACAGAGAGGCCACAGATGGTGTGTGTTCCCTGCATTACGTTCCTCTGCCCATTTCAGCATATGATCGCTAATTGTATGCTCGGGGAAAAGGGAGCTCTGGGATTATGCTGCCATCTTCCTCCTCCCCCCCCCTTTGATTTCTGATAACCTTTTGTTGCACTTCTTCCATTACCTCTATTCCTTTCCTTATTACCTCTTCTTAATAGCCATTCAAATAATGGCTATTATGCATTTTTTTATTATTTAAAAATGTGCTTTTTATTTCAGATATTACAACAAAAGAAGCATTTCAAAGAAAGCAGAAAACCGAGACAATTATCTTCTTCCGGGAAAGGAATGTGAACAGCTATGAGTGTATTACAACATCAAATATTGAAGCTGTTGCTTCAAAGGTACAGTAGTAATAACTTGTTAATACAGCATCAGAAACATAATTTTAATAGAAACTGATTTGTCATACAAAATATTCCTTGGGGAAAAAATTAACATAAAAGCCTGAAATAGTAAAATTTCTAAAATGGATTGTCCCATTTTGTGTTGCTGCATCTTTGGTATCATCTCTTTAAATTATGCACCTGGTTTATATGTTCACCATCTTTCATTTTTTCATGTTTTATTGTATTATAACTTATGGTCAACTCTTCCAGATTAAGAATTTAGATTTACCAGACATTATTTTTCACTGAGGTTTAACTCATTGAAAGCTTGTTATGTGGGCAAATGCACTGTCAAAACTACCATACAGAAATAGTCTAGTGCTTGCTTTATCAAGTGCCAAATAGTGCACTCTAAAATCAACACCAAAGGAAAGGCAATTGGTAACAATTAAAAAAGACATGTATTCATTCACAATATTTTTTTAAACTACCATGCAAAGACATTAATACATTTAAACAAAAGTACAAACCAAAATAAAGAACATTTTTGAAAAGTACAATTATTATAGACCTGAATTAAAAAAACATTTATAAATGTACTATGAACTTAATCAGATTGCATTGTTGTGCGGCATTCTCAGCAATGGGGGTTTCGTCAGCCTCCTACTCACCCCATCCCTTTAAGCCACCTATCTCAGTTTCAGAAAAGTCCACTAATGACAAAAACAGGGCATCACTGTGTGGGTCAAAAAGCGCCTTATTCTCCTTGCAGGTAATAACACAGTTCTGCTCTGCATAAATTACATTGATCAGGCTCCTTCCCCCCCTCCTCATCCGCCCCACCTTCCAACTGCACATGTGTGACACTTTTCCAGCATTGATTGGAATAGATCACTATCCCAGGAGTGAGTGTGATAGGCATAAAAAAAAGTAGGTTAATATGAAACAAAATTGTATTTACCTGCTTTTTTTCAGCGTACAGAGTGAGGCAACTGTCTAAAGCTATTAAATTAGACAGTTGTCTCAAAATTATGCATGTCCCTAATATATTCTAATAACTAGCAGAGACCAGTAAGGGTTTTACATACTCACGTTTTCACACTAAGAGACACATTCTCCCTTTGACAGACACACTCACTGGCTGGAACAAACTCTACTGCTACAGTGTTACTGTAAGTGCATGAACAACTGTGTTTTTTTTTTTTCGTTTTTTTTACCAAAGAGGGTTTAAAGATTGTCACCCTTACTGGCATTTTATATAAAATATTAAGAGAATAGAATTTAAAAAAAATAACATTGATTTCCTCATCAGTCAGGGATTTTTGTGTGTGTAATTCTCATTCTCAGTGTCTCTATCGGATGAACTGGGAGTCTGAGGGTTTTGGGCAGTAGCTTAGCTATTCCTAGACCTAAAATCGTCCGGACAGAAAACTCACATGCCTCACTTGGAATCTGCTGAAGCCATTCTCCCAACAGTTTAACAGACTCCCAATCCTCTGTAAGAGCATCTGAGAAGGAGAAATACATATAAATAGCACCATGAGGGGTGAGAAAAAGCACTATACATATATCAGCAGTGTCTGTCTTCCCTGAAAACAAAGATATCCTGCAAAACCCAAATCACTACTTTCAAACTTTGATCCTTTGACAAGTATTGAAGAAAAATGACTATAATAACAAGAGTTTCTATTTTTAGAATAAGCACTGTTTGCTTGAAGTTGGACTGGAGTGCACAAAACATTTAATAAGAGCAAACCTTTTTCCGATCATCCTTTTTATCAAGGTTTCAGAGAAAAACCTAAAAAAAATCAGGTAACATTATACAGAAAATTGTTTTAAAGTTTTCAGTTGGCTTCTAGATTGTGAGTTTAAAGGGACAACCCAAGCACCTGGACAACTAGACAACTTACTTGCATTTTAAAGGTTTAAGAAAAATAACTTACCTTTTTTAATAAGCACATTGCTTGATGTCCAAATGATCTTGTCTGCAGGAATGCCAATTTTGGAGGAACATAAATATAAATATCATGCTTAATATTTTTTTTTTTTAATATCATTTTTATTTCACATTTTTATCACAAAGTTTAAAAATACAAAGTGAAATGCAAAGTCAATAATGATGCGTTTTTGCACTAATACGTGCTTCTACCTGACGAATGGCTTTTCCTGCTCTACTGTTCTCATATATATGATGTGCACAAGCTCAGGGCACCCAACAAGTAATCTCACTCATTTAGATAGATACAAAGTAAGTAACATACAACCAAAAGATAGGCATATTAAAATAATTACTAAATAATAGCATATGCATCAAATCAAAGATATGATTCAAAATTAAAGAGGCTATCTTCAAAATAATACTTTAAAATATGAGAAATTAAGTGTAATTTTTTTTTTTACATTAATAGTGTGAAACAAATGTATAACATAGTTATAAGGGTTTTCTCTGCTACGAGAGATTGGCAAAGATAGATTCATTGTATTGCTTAAAGTTTTTGGATTGTTTTCATCATATTTATTTTCATAAATTGTATCAGGAATTCTGGATTTTAATTTGAACTTGAATTTGAATGTTAACAGGTATCAGATTTTTTTTTTATTCTTTATTTTCATTTTTCAGGTTTTAAAAGGTAACATTAGGTAATGAATAGTTAACTACCAAATTACAGCAATCGACAGAGGTATTGAACAGTTCAGACCAAATGTGCACAGCACGCCTGTGTAAGTGAGGGGTATCTTATAAACAATAATTGAGACAGGACTTCCCTTTTTACCTCCTGAGGAGGTTTACGCTTCTCCCTCGCACTGCAGGTATGAGTTTTGGTCATCGGATGCCCGTGTCATGGGATTGGGGGTCCTGTCTTTAAAGTCGTCTATTGGTTCTCTAGGGGTCAGGCATGCTCTTGGAAGGGAGGACTGCCTTGGGTTAAGGGAAGGCTGTCTATTCAAAGTCAGCGTACGTCCTTGTAATGAGTGATGTTCCCTTGTGCACTCGTAAGGGAGTTGTAATTGTCGGGGTTCTTTTGGGTCGAGGGCTATCTCCTGATATTAAGGTCAGTGAAAGTGAGAGAATACAGGTAATGAGAAGAGGGAGTAGTAGTAATAAGGGAGAGGAAAATGGAAGGGGTTGAGGAGGGACATGTGAGCAAGCCCGGACACCGGGCCCCGCGTCCCCCCCTATAGGTAGGGGGGGGGACGAGAAAGAAGAGAGGGGGGGGAATGGTGGATGAGAGTGGTTGGCAGGGCTGGAGGAGTTGGGGCAGTGATTTGATACATTTAGACTGATAGAAGGTAGGACATGGGTGCATCTGGTTTTTGGTGGGGCCTCTATTGAACACTGAGAGGTTGACCACTATTCGTCATTTACATGGCACCTTCCAACCAGGGGTCCCATACTTTGTGAAAAGTTTTAGGGGTTTTGTTTGTTTGTGCTGTAAGTCTGTCCATGCTGTCTTGTAGTTTCTTGACTATCACATTCTGCGTGGGTATACCTGTGGTCAACCATACCTCTCCGTTTGCCCTGCGTATGGCCACTCACGCAATCAATTTGTTTTCTGCCCTTGTGAAGCATTCAAGGGGTTTTGCGCTCCACCTCTCCCTCCTTTTGTCATTTCCAGTTACAGACAGAATTAATGATATAACAGTTAACTGAGCAAGAAAACATATGGTTTGAGATAGCAGTTTTGAAACTAACCAGAGTGTCCATCTGTGCGTCCACAAATAGTAATATATATATATGGAACAAGAGTAAATAATACATGGAACAAAAATCATAAAAGAGAATGGCAATGGGGGAAGCGTCTCCCCCGGTGTTTGTGAGCGAGTGAGGGACTTAGGCTGCCCCACATGGTGGTGCAATACTAGAGGTGGAGGGATACCCCTACCCTTCATGCCTCATCAGGTTTCCAGCTAGCTTAAGTGGTTTATCGTAGGAGGGGGTGTCCCAACCCAATCCCTTCCCTCTGTCATTGCTCGTTAGGAGCGTGGGGGGGGAGAGGACATTAAGCCCGCAAATGGAAAAAGCCAAAACTTAAACTCTGAGATGCCATTTTATATAATAATAAAAAATAAATATATTTAAAAAAAATAAAATAAAAACAATAGAGAGATAAGAGTTTGGGTGGAGATGGACATAATGTAAGCAGTAAGACACGCTTTCTTAATCTTATCTCTGTGTTGTGGTCGATATCGTTGTCATGGAGATTGGAAGGGTAGCGAAATGGACGCTTGCCAGACTAATTTTTCGGCTGTACCCCCTGTAATAAAACTTCCACAATTTTGTGTGTTTTCCCTGTTATTTCATGTGGTTGCTCTTTGGCCGTTCAGGAAACTTAATACGAATGGATCCCCTTTGTCTCTCAAACGAGGACCGCCCTATTAGAACGTTGACACCAACCACTCAAGTGCGAAACCGCAAGGGAAACAATTAATAAATGCTTTCCCTGGGTGGCTGCCATTTCGTATAACCGAACACGTGGCAGAAAGTATGGCAGCCATCTTGGGCAGCGGAAGCTTGCTGCACCGTCCCCGATGAGGAAATAAGGGACTATGAGCGAGTAAAAGCAGTGATACTCACCAGGTATGCCATCACCACAGAGGAATACCGCAGGCAGTTTAGAGACCCAAAGGAAATAGAAAAAAACTCTCATGCGGAATGGGCCTGACGATTACACCGGGCTGCTCTGGGGTGGGTACAAGCCCACAAAGTCAGCACAATGAAGGAATTACTACAAGTAGTGCTGCTGGAGCAATTCTTTAATGGGCTGGCTCCAAACATCCAGGAGAGGGTGAGAGATAACAACCCCTCTACCATCACGGAGGCAGCAAGGCGGGCCAATGAATATTTGGATGCTTACCGACATCAACAACTGGTCCAACCCAGACCATTTCTCTGACCTGCAGCAGCCTCTCAGGGACCAGTGACACAACTCAGGCAATCGGGGGCCATCAATGCCCCACCCACCCCGCTTTCAACCACACGGCCAGTTACAGTGCCATATATGCAAAAAGATGTGGAACATACGCAGAGAGTACCCCAAACACCAAGACCGGCTCATTGGATTCGCCCGGGGCCACCCCCAGCTGCCAAGGCAGCGGTCCACTATTACCAAACGTAGACCTCCACCACTCCAGCACCACCTGTAGAGCATTGGGAAGTCCTTTGGGAAGTCCTGCACTAAGCCGACCCAGTACAAGCGGCCGCAGATAATCACCAGCATCACCGGCAGACTGTACACCTTCAGGGGAAAGGAGTTCAAGGAATCCGTGATACGGGAGCCACCTTTACTCTGGTAAAGCGACATCGGTGCCAGACGCAGCAAAGACCGGGAGTTCGGTGGCAGTGCGGGTAGCCGGAGGATCAGTATACAGGCTGCCTACTGCGTGGGTACATTTGGATTGGGGAGCGGGGTCTGGAATGGTGGAGGTGGGGTTGATGCCGGAACTGCCTGCAAAAGTACTTTTGGGGAATGACCTGGGAAAGCTCATGTCCGCTTTTGAGCCCCAGGGACAGCAGTTAGTGGTACCCCAGAGGCTTACAAAGAATTTGTTTTGGCCTGGGATTTTGCAGGATATTAGGCGGTATTGCCAGACGTGCGATATTTGCCAAAGGGTAGGTAAGACCACCTCAATGCCAAGCTCCACCCTCTCCCAATGATTGAGGAACCTTTCAGGCGAATAGCGGTAGACCTGGTAGGACCCTTAACGAAACCTCGTCCCTCCGGCAAGAAATATATCTCGACGGTGGTGGACTACACAGCCAGGTACCCAGAGGCAGTGGCGCTGACCAATATGCATGTGGAAACGGTCGCAGAGGCCCTGATGCAAATCTTCTCCTGCATGGGATTTCCCCGACAGATAGTGTCGGATTGGGGCACCAAATTTACCACAGAGGTCACCCACCAGCTCTGAAGGCTCTGCTGCATTAAGCCAATTATGAGCTCCCCATACCACCCCGAAACCAACAGGCTCTGTGAACGCTTCAACGGAATATTGAAGTAAATGCTCCGGACGTTCGCAGACACCAGTCGAGACTGGGAGTGATTCCTGCAGCAACTCCTGTTTGCCTACCGGGAGGTGCCACAGGAATCCACAGGGTTCTCCCATTTGAGTTACTTTATGGGAACACTGGGAAGGGAATATTAGCCAAGATGGGACCCCCATCGTCCCATATGTGCTGGAGTTCAGGGACCGTCTGGAGGAGTTGACTAGGTCTGTACATGCGAACCAGATGGCACAGAACCACCAGAACACGTGGTGCAATCGAGGTGCCAGGGACCGTAGCTTTCAGGTAGGGCAGAAAGTTTTAATTTTAAAACCTTTTTGGAATGACAAGTTCCAGGCGGCTTGGCAGGGCCCATACCAAGTGGTGGAGCAGAAATGCTTACATGATCGGCCCTTGCTCTGGAGTGGGGGGGCGACGCATGCTCCATATGAACATGCTGAAGCCCTACCATGAGAGAGCCGAGGAGGTGGCTGCGATCTGTGTCCATGCCTCTGTGGATTTCGACAACCTTCCCCTACCATACCTCCTAGGGAACGGTAGTCAATCAGGTGAGTTAGAGGAGGTCAAGCTGGGAGACCGGTACGGCAGCTGTTAGAGGAGAAGAAAGCCACCTTCTCCAACGTACCCGGGTACACCCCTTTGGCTGTCAAGTGGGATGGGGGCAACTAAGAATGTGGCAGTGGCCAACCCCCAGAATGAAGATGCAACCTTCCTTTAGACGGCAGGATGCTATAGGAAGTTTCTGCCCAGTTATAGTGCCCTGGCCAAACCCCTTACCAACCGACCTTTATGTGAATATCCCTTTAAACAACACAAAAAGTGCCTATGAGAGATAAAAACAATAACTGCACTTAACTTTCGTATACAGCTTCCCTGTGAGTGATCTTCACATGAAATAGAGACAACAAGAACAAGTGGGATACAGTTGTATACCAAAAAAAAATAAAAAATAAAAAAATAAACTAGACATAGTGCAACACAATATATACAAATATTTACAGTCTATGCTCTATGATAGTTATTGCTTAGTTTTTACAATAATCAGTAAAGGCACACAATGTATAACCAGAAAATTATACATAAATAATATATATATATATATTTATTTATTCTTTTGTTGGACATTCACTATGAACTCTGGATAGACTGAATTACAGTTGAAGGCCCTAAAATCATCAATACAATAGGGGGGGGGGATAAAAAGAGTGGGGGGTGGGGGGGGAGGAGGAAGGTGGAAGAGGAAAGGGGAAAAGGGAAGAGGAGAGGTTGTCTTGTAGTTTCTTGACTGGGAGAAGGGAAGGGGGAAGGTGGGGAGGGAGAGGGAGAAAAGGGAGGGGGGAATAGAGGTAGGGGGGCCCATGGATTGTGTATACGCCACTGCCCCCACCCACAGTAGTTGGGGACCAGAAGGAGGATATTAGGTCTTTCCATTTAATATTAATATTAGGGCCCCCAAATCCGATCTGTAGTAGATAAATCTGTTGAGCTTCTTCTTGAACTATTTAAATTCAATACCACATGGTAATACTTTCATATGCTGCCTAGCAATATAATAATTGTGTGTCCAGAAAATATGGTGGATCTGGCAACCCTAGTAAGCACACCAATGACAACTGCTGGTGAGAGTGAGCAGGGGAGAAAGAATGTGTGAAATGGGCAGGGGATACATGAAAGGGGTAGGGAGATTGAGCAAGACAGAATAGAACCAACATTCAAGAAATGTAGATTAATACCTATCACTAGAATAGTAAATACTATGTTGAGAACAATTTAAGGAACCATCCAAGAACTGTAGCCACTACAGCTCACCATAAGGGCTATGGTGATCTCTTAGACTAAGTAGTCAAACCATTTAAGAACAACTTACTTGGGATGAGCCAGGTGACCAAAGCTGCCTGGTGCCAGAAAATTCTGCAAGGAGCTCTCCTTTTGTCTGAGAGCATCAGCGCAGCTGCCTCTTCTGCGCCCTGAAGCTCCTGCATTGAGCTTAGATCATTAACTAACCCAGATAAGTTGCCAAACGGGTCTAGGAGGGCACCAGGACACTCCCGGCACTGTATCCACTAAAGCTATTTGGTGCTTGGAGTGCTCCTCTAATATATTTTATAAAGCGTCCATACTTATGTTGTTACTCCACCACAGCATTCATTTAGTAGTGCAGTAAATAAATAATAATTGTATGACAGAGTGTAATAAAACCATTGTGAAATCACAAAAACGTTAACATATTCTTTGATTAATACAGGAGGTTGCAACCAAGGCCAGAGATTGAAGAAGAGTTTCTACGCACTTGTCGTCAGAAGGAGAAAGAGATTGAATCACTTCCTTGTCTCTATGCTACAATAGAGGTAGACGCCTGGAGCAGTCCAGAGGACCTTCTAAGAATAATCAAGGAAAAAATTGCAGAAGAACAAAGGAAAACTGTTTGGATAGACGAAGATTCCTTTTAAAATGTTTAATATTTTTTAACTGAATATGTATCATTACTTTCATTAAAGAGACACCCCAGGCACCAATACTACTTTAATGCATTTAATAGATTGTGGCCTCCTACTAGTTTTTGCATAAATTAAATACATGTTTTGCAAAATTTCTCTGGCTGTCTGCAGCCAGGTTGTGAAGTATAATTAGCTAACACAGTGATGTGTGCATACTTTTCCAAAAAAGTGAATTGTATAATTCAGGGTTTAAAAATGAATGTACCAGGGGGGTGGTGCCTATCATTCCATGGAACCAGACGTGTAAATCCCTTGCGTTCTCTTCCTCGTCATTACATCTGCTACCATCCGCAATCTAACGCAGAAAATCCTGCAGTTGACACACCATTCATAACCCTCCAAAGATCCAACCTGATGGGGGGGGGGGTAAAAAAAAAATTGACACCCTCCGTGGCCATGATGTCCCATGTGCCTATAGACACAAGATGGCCATCATTGTCTCAAGTCCCAGCCAACTCGGGAACCAACTCAGATGACAGCAACACGGTTACTGTCCTAGATCACAATTCCATGACCGACAATTTACATGGCTTAACGAGAAAATTACACAATTGGAAGATGGTCACAAAGACCTGAACAATTGTCCATGACGCAACAACATTAGAATACAGGGCATGCCGGAATCTATCACTGCCGACACCCTGCTCCCTACCATTAGGGAAATTTTTCAAACTCTTCTCCCAGAGGCCTCTGCACACCACCACCATCAAATGAACCCACAGGACTCTACGACCCACAGCCTTGAATCCCATAGCACCAAGAAACATGGTAATCTAATGCTACACTGCACCACAAAGGACATACTCTACAATTCCTTTCAAGACCTGGCCCCCTCTACCCTGAGGAAAAGAAGGGAGCTCAAACCCCTAACAGCCCTTAACAGCCCTTACACAAGCTAATAGCATGCAAGGACAAGATTTTGCTATCACTCTGGGCCTCTCAGTACAACCAGTCCTAGGTCCTGGCCCCAGGGAGTCAGCAACATGAGTTAACAACACCAGAAGAAACATGCCACCTCCTCCTCACCAACAACAAGCGTCCTGATCTGCAGTTCACAACCCTCATGGACTTTACCTGTGGAACAACTGTTCCCCTACCCACAAACCATCAGGCTTTTTATCAGGGTCTCACTATAGGGAATAATCCTCTAATACCAATTGTTTACTTATAATTCAGGTCTAGAAAATAGTCTTCAGCCAGACATTATTATTTAAAACTTGATTCGTCTGTTTGTTTGGTTATTGCCGGTTGTTCGTATGTTTTCTGTTTGCATTCACCCAAATACGAACAAACTACCGAATGGCAGGCCACCTAGCTGCAAAGTGTGCTGCTTGTTAACCTTTCTGCCCTCATTAACATTGTGGTTAACTGCAGACACTTCCAACTCCCGAACGGTCGACTGAGTGATTGTCGTTCGTATGGACAAACACGTGGCAGCGGCCATCTTGGACAGTCAAACGCGCAGCGGTGTTCGTCAACAAGCTCATGGAACTGATTTCGGACACGGCTTCCAATGAACACCACTGAAAATCACGGACCCTCCATCGTTCTGTTCCAAGTTCATACGAACGCCGTTCCGTTCGGTAAATTGGCAATGCACAAACGGGACTGTACCAGATAGCAAACCCATGGAGCTTCTTCGTTTCATCGAATGCACAAGACTTTAACTCCATGGTGCTTGAACTGCATATATGGGATCTGTGGGGGTTCCGTTAGGTATATTTGGAAATGTGTATTATTAAGTGTTTTTACCAGTACAGTAAAATGGAGGATATTCTCTATCCCTTGAGGTAATTGAGTTACTTCAAGCACTCGACCCAATTATCTCCAGGATAGAGAGGAGTTGTACTGTTCATGTGGGAGTGTTTCCATACTGTAAATGCATGTGATTGGCTAATGTAAAAACTGTCTCAGTCTTCCACAAGGTCCCTATGGGAGTGTCCCTTGCTGCAAGACCTGCATAAAAGGCTGACATGTAGCCCCTATTAAACAGTTCCTGCTTGACCCTCAATACAGAGCCTCGTCTCATAGTTGGGGGGGATAATTTGTATGATTCCTGTTCGACGCTCAGGAGTGTTCGGTAACTGACTTCACATTCTGGAAAAATAACAGCTTTGGCGGTGTTAACCCCTTCCCTACTCAGGGTTATTTTAATTTAAAATGATTATTTTAGCTTTCATAGTAAGATATTCTCGAAATAAGGGTGTAACACTTATCAAGCACCCTCCCCCTGCCCTCATCTGGTTGAGCCACAATCCACCCATCTGACCTATAGAGCCCCGAGTCGTACACCCACTTTATACATAGGGACTGGGAGAGGGAGAAATGGGACACATAGAGGGGGAGGGGAGGGAGGACAGTATGGGGAACATTGAGGAGAGAGGGAATGGGGCACATGGAGGGGTTGGGTAGGAGGAGGGTATGGGACACATAGAGGGGCTTGGGGGGGAGAGGGAATGGGACACATGGAGGGGCAGAGGGAATGACACACATGGAGGGGCTTCGGGGTCAAGGGAATGAGACAAATGGGGGGGCCTGCTGCAGGAATGAGACATGAGGCGAGGGGGGGTGAGTGAATGAGACATCAAGGAGGAGGGGCCCCAGGGAACTTTTCGCACCGGGTCCAGTGGATTCTAGTTGCACCTCTGCTCCAACATTTAACATCCACTACTCTATGGTCAGGATAATTACTCCTGACTGTTGTGCACGTCTGATCTGCAACTACAGGAAACGTTTGGTTGAAGTTATTGCTGCCAAAGGAGGTTCAACCAGTTATTAAATCCAAGGGCTCACATACTTTTTCCACCTGCACTATGAATGTTTACATGGTGTGTTCAATAAAAACATGGCATCATTTCATTCTTTGTGTGTTATTAGTTTAAGCAGACTGTGATTGTCTATTGTTGTGACTTAGATGATGCTCAGATCACATTTTATGACCAATTTGTGCAGAAATCCATATCATTCCAAAGGGTTCACATACTTTTTCTTGCAAGGGAAATTCACAACAAATATACTTGCACAAACAGCAAACAGTACATATCACCACCTTTGGTGGGAATGTGCAAAGATAGCCCAATTGTGGCTCAAGGTATCAAAATTAGTATCCAAGGTGCTATGTACAGTCGTGCCATTAGACCCTTGGATCTGAAAACTGCTCAAAAACACCCTCAGATGTCATAACAAATTGATAGTTAAGGTTGCGCTAGCAACTTAAAAGAGCAGTTGGAGAAAATTCTAATTCTTTAGGTGCTAAAAAGTAAATCTGGTGCCTGCACTTCTGACATGACACGATGCAAGGAAGATGGACAAACTCGCTACAGTGATTCAGTGATCCATGGCTCTTCGAGTTCCTGTTACTCACTTAGGGACCGGGGACCAGCAAGAAGCAGGCCTCCCCACCACCCCTTCTTTTTTCTAATTCACATCCTTCCCCCCCACCCTCATCTGCAGCAGACCCCCCTCCCACCTTTCCCACTCCCTTCTATTTTTCACTTCCCTCCAATTCCCCTATCCCGCTACCCACCCCCCCATTTTCTCACTCAATACACATCTTCATGATGACTGTGACAGACCTCTTTGTCTTTGAATTACTTTTATTTCTCCTTGGTTCATCTGTTTGTACGGCTATTCCCCATTTTACCAAAAAAACTGTTGAACGGCCGGCAACCCAACATGGAAGTGTGCTGCTTGTTAACCTATTGGCCTCATTAGAACGTTGTGGTTAACCGCATACACTTCCTAATTGTCGAATGTCGACTGGGTGGTCATTGTTCATATGAACGAACACGTAGTGACGGCCATCTTGGGCATACGAATGCCCAGCGGTGTTCGTCGACAATTTCATGGAACTGAAAACGGACACTATTTTCACACGAACACCACTGAAGCCGCCGACCTTCCTTCTTCTGTTCTACAGTTATACAAACGCCGTACAGTTCTGGACTTTTTCTTACGAACAGAGCTACCCCAGATAGCTATCCCATGGAGCCCATTCGTATAACTAAAGACTATGTGAAAGACTTTGGCTCCATGGCGAGTAAACTGTATGTATGTGATCTGAGCGCTATTCGGTAATAATTAGAGTTGAGAGAACCCGGACTGTAAAGTTCGGGTTCGTACCAAACATTACGTTTTTTGGACCAAGGACCCGAACATGGACGTATCAGTGTATGTTCGGGTTGGAGTTCGGTGTTCGGCAATTTAATGGCGCGTTATGAAAGGCTGCAGGGCAGCCAATCAACAAGCGTTTGACTTGTGTGCCCTTAGAAGCCATCACAGCCATGCCTACTAATGGCATGGCTGTGATTGGCCAGTGCAGCATGTAACCCAGCCTATATTATTATTTTTATAATTATTTTATTATTTATATAGCGCCAACAAATTCCGTAGCGCTGTACAATTGGTGGACTAACAGACACATAATTGAGATCAGACCACTGACGTACAGGAACAGAGAGGGTTGAGGGCCCTGCTCGATGAGCTTACATGCTAGAGGGAGTGGGGTATAGTGACACAAAGGGTTAAAGTAGGGGAATTAAATAGTTTGTTACAGAAGGGTTTATTGAGTGCTTGGTAGGTCATTTTTGACAGGTGAAGGAACGGAGTCATGGGGTGGGGAATGAGAAACCTGCTGACAGTTTAATTGATACGCTTTAATGAAGAAGTGAGTTTTCAAAGATTTTTTGAAGGAATGGAGGCTGGGTGAAAGTCTGATTGAGGAGGGAAGGGAGTTCCACAGAATAGGTGCAGCCCTGGAGAAGTCTTGAAAGCGAGCATCAGAGGTGGGAATCCGGGCAGAGGATAGGAGTAGGTCTTGGGCTGAGCGCAGGGGTCTCGACGGGACATATTTGTGTATGAGGGAGGATAGGTATGTTGGAGCAGCATTATGTAGGGATTTGTAAGCAAGTGCCAGAATTTTGAATTGGGCCCTATATCTAACTGGAAGCCAATGCAGGGACTGACAGAGCGTGGAGGCGTGGGAGGTGCGACCGGACTGGAAAATAAGCCTCGCAGCCGTATTCATTATAGATTGCAGTGGTGCAAGCTGGGAACATGTAAGACCGGTGAGAAGGGGATTGCAATAGTCAAGGCGAGAGAGAACAACAGCATGAACCAGTACCTTAGCCGCGTCCGGCGTTAGATATGGGCGGATGTTGGAAGCGACAGGATTTGGCTATCGATTGAACATGGGGAGTAAAAGAGAGATCAGAATCAAAAAGAACTCCTAGGCAGCGAGCCTGGGAGGTAGAGGTGATAGTAGCGCCGTTGACTTGGATGGCGACAGACACAGGAGTAGCAGCACTTGAGGGAGGAAAAACTAGAAGTTCTGTTTTGGACAGGTTGAGTTTAAGGAAGTGAGCAGCCATCCAGTTGGAAATAGCAGAGAGGCAGTCAGAAACACGAGTCAGGGTGGGCGGATAGAGATCAGGGGAGGACAGGTAGATTTGCGTGTCATCTGCATATAAATGGTATTGGACGCCAAAAGAGCTGATGAGTTTACCAAGGGAGGCAGTATAGATAGAGAACAGTAGGGGGCCGAGGACAGAACCTTGGGGGACGCCGACAGGGAGGGGTTGGGAAGAAGAGGCAGAGCCAGAGAAAGAAAGACTGAAGGAGTGCTGGGAGAGGTAGAAGGAGCACCAGGAGAGCAGAATCCCGTAGACCAAAGTTACGGAGAATGTGAAGAAGCTGTTGATGATCAACAGTGTCAAAGGCGGCAGAAGGATCAAGGAGGATTAGGATAGAGTATTGGCCGCGAGATTTAGCAGCAATTAAATCGTTGGATACTTTGGTCACAGCAGTTTCGACAGAGCGACCAGCGCGGAATCCAGACTGAAGGGGGTCAAGCAGAGAGTTGGATTCAAGAAAGTCTGTCAATCTGGCGTAGACACCTCTCTCGAGGATCTTGGAGGCAAATGGCAGTAGCGAGATAGGGCGGTAGTTGGATGGGGAGTTGGGATCAAGGCTGGGCTTTTTCAGAATTGGGGTTACGGTTGCATGTTTGAAGGCAGAGGGAAATGTGCCAGAGGAAAGGGAGAGATTGAAAATGTTAGCGAGAGGAAGAGCAAGAGAGGGAGACAAAGTGCGGATGAGATGCGAGGGAATAGGATCGAGGGAGCAGGTGGTGGGGCGGGAGGACAGGAGCAGAGCTTATATATAAGCTGGAGACATGTAGCGCCGCACGTCACATGAGCTCTTATTAGTGTAGGGACAGGATGCTGCAGCTGTGAGGGACAGATTAGGAAAGAATTCTGGTGTTGAATCTGCAAACTACAGCGATTATTTTTGAGGGTGCTATACTACATTTTTGTACCCTGCACTTGCAACTGCATGTGTGCCAGGCACATTAATTTAAACCTGTTCTGGTAGTTCAGTGGGCAACATCCAGGCATTTTTAAATACTGCAATTTTTTTGGTGCTAAATAGTACATTTGCGTACTGCATTTCTTGCAGTCCAATAAAACCCTTAAATACTGCTGTTACATTGTTGGTTTAAAAAATCAAACTTTTTGGTGCTAAATAGTACATTTGTGGCGTGTGGTGCACTTCAAATCTGAGAGTCACATAGAACCGCCAAATACTGTGGTTACAGTGCATTTTTAAACATACAAATTTTAAGGTGCTAATAAGTACATTTGGGGCCTGTACTTCATATCTGAGAGTCAAATAGAACCGTCAAATACTGTGCTTACATTGCAGTTTTAAACATTCAATTTTTTTAGGTCCTAAATAGTACATTTGGGGCCTGCACTTTATATCTGAGAGTCAAATAGACCCGTCAAATACTGTTGTGACATAGCAGTTTTAAAAATTCAAATTCATTAGGTGCTAAAAAGTAAATTTGGGGCCTGCACTTCATATCTGAGGGTCAAATAGAAGCGCATTTTTAAAAATTCGAATTTTTTTTTAGTGCTAAATAGTACATTTGCGGCCTGCGGTGCATTTCATATCTGAGTGTCAAATAGAACCGTCAATACTGTGGTTACAGCACATTTTTAAACTCTCAAATTTTTTAATTGCTAAATTGTACATTTGGGGCCTGCACTTCATATCTGAGAGTCGAATAGAACCGTCAAACACTGCTGTGACATTGCAGTTGTAAACATTCAAATTCTTTATGTGCTAAAAAATAAATTTGGGGCCTGCACTTCATATCTGATAGTCAAATAGAACCGTCAAATACTGTGGTTACAGCGCATTTTTAAACATTCAAATTTTTTAGATGCTTAATTGTACATGAGGCCTACACTGCATATCTGAGAGTCGAATAGAACCGTCAAATACTGCTGTGACATTGCAGTTTTAAAAATTCTAATTCTTTAGGTGCTAAAAAGTAAATTTGGGGCTTGCACTTCATATCTGGTAGTCAAATAGAACCGTCAAGTTTGCCTAATTCACTTTTTTTTGGTGCTAAAAAGTAAATCTGGGGCTTGTACTTCATATCTGAGAGTCAACTAGTACTGTCAAATACTCTGCTTATATTGCAGTTTTAAACATTCAAATTATTTAGGTGCTAAAAAGTAAATTTGGGGCCTGCACTTCATATTTGAGAGTCAAATACAACCGTCAAATACTGTGATTACAGCGCATTTTTAAACATTCAAATTTTTAAGGTGCTAAATTGTACATTTGAGGCCTGCACTTCATATCTGAGAGTCAAATAGAACCATCAAATACTGTGCTTACATTGCAGTTTTAAACATTCAAATTCTTTAGAGGCTAAAAAGTAAATTTGGGGCCTGCACTTAATATCTGAGAGTCAAATTAAACCGGCAAATACTGTGGTTACAGCGCATTTTTAAACATTCAAATTTTTTAGGTGCTATATTGTAGGTTTGGGGCCTGCACTTCATATCTGAGAGTCAAATAAAACCGTCAAATACTACTGTAACATTGCAGTTTGCCTAATTCACATTTTTTTGGTGCTAAAAAGTACATTTGTGATGTGCACTTAATATGTGAGAGTCAAATAGAACCGTCAAATACTGCTGTGACATTGCAGTTTGCCAAATTCACTTTTTTTTTGGGGCCTGCACTCCATATCTGAGAGTCAAATAGAACCGTCAGATACTGTGGTTACAGCGCATTTTTAAACATTCAAATTTTTACGGTGCTAAATTGTACATTTGATTTAGATCAAAGCAAACTTTGATTAATTGTCTATCTACTCCTTCCAAATTGATTATGCGTATGTCTTCTAGAAGTAAATCACACCGGACACATTGCAGGTTTATGAAGAACTCTGGAGTGGCCTTTATTGCAGGGGGTGCGATTCCCTTTTAAAGCAGAAATACGTCATGTACAGAGTCACAGTTACCATACAGTATACATTCAACAATTGGTTAACGGTCTAAGGGGTCTTGTCTAATCCCACCCTACAGGATGTAATGTCATCATTACAGAGTTCTCCCACCCACATTCCAGCTCTGTCTTGGTTACACGATGGGAGGGGGAGTGAGTAGTTACTGAACAGAGAGGGGCTGAAGGGGAAACAGTTACTTTAACAGCGATTCTCCATTTTGTTACACGTGGCACATAGCTGTTAGTTTGCACAAAGGAAGTGGAGGAGGAGTTAGTAAAGGAAGCTGTTATTTTAACACAGGAATTTGTTACACGAGGCTTGCTCGATGGGAAGGGGGGAGGGTAGCCGGATGGGAGGAATTTACAGAGGAAATAGTTACTGAGCACACATGTACAGAGTAAAAAAGACATTTTATCCTTTCAAGTATTTTGTCCATAACAGTCCCCCCTTAAAATGACTATTTTACTAACAACTACTATCTCTAACTCTAATACTGTCCCTATAGAAAAATAACAAAAAGGCTATCTTGCACATCTGTCTGAACAGGCCTTGATGACCCGTAGCAACTCGTCCACTACTTCTCCCGCAACAGACTTCTGCCCATAGAGACAGACGCTATCCCTGAATGTCCTTAAGAGGAAGTAGCTGTTGATTTAGTGCGGTGGGACTGTAAGGGTGTATGTGGTGTATCACGGTCTATGTCATCAATCTCTTGGTGAAGGAAGGTCGAGGTGGTCTGGTTGATTGTCTGATCAACTGTCTTTTGTAGGCATTTCTTAAGACAGGGTAACACACAACAAACAAGAAGAGCGAAGATGATTATCGTTATTAAAATGGCAACACCTATTTGGGCCAGAGCACCTTGCCATCCAGACATCCATCCAAACCATCTTTCCCATGGATCCGTGGCCCCAGAATTTCGTTTCAGCTCATTGGACAAACTCTTTAACTTTTCTTTTGCCAATGTTACCTTACCATTAGGGCCTGTATTTATCTGGGATATAGATACAGCATGTCATGGTGTCTGGGAGTATTTTACATACTTCCCCTTTCTCCGCCATGATCATGTCTAAGGCCATTCTATTCTGGAAGGTCATCTGGGAGGTAGCTTGTAACCACCCTATCTCACCATATATCCCATAACAAGTAATGCCTTCGTCTGGGTTAATATTTTTAGTAATGATTGGGTTTTCTTTTTCCATGACTCGCATGCTGACTGATTAGGTTTAAATATAGTGTATAGACTTAAAAAATATACTTCATATCCAGAGGAAGGTTCAGGGATACAGTACCTGGGGTGAGGCCTCGCTCCTCTGCAGACATAGCAGTTAGACTTGTTATGTTTAGTAGCATTGTATTTCATCCATTCAAGCCACAAATTAGTGTCAGAGAAACCTGTCTCTACAGCCATAGTATC